TTAATAACAAATATACATGCTTACCTTTGCAAATTCAATAGCAAAAAGCCTTTTATATTCAGTTTCCATCAGTAAACTGCAGACAATTAGCTCATGTACAATCTTCCGGGCTCCTAAGGAAATAAAATACACAGGCTACAGTGAAAGCATTGTATGTCATGTCTTACAATTACTTAATAAATAGTACATCATTGCTTAGGGTTCTGGACTATAACTGGAAGGTGAGGATTCAAATCCCATGGGGGCAAAAGTGTTGTAGATTTGTGCAAAGAATTTCACTCAGATTACTCTACTTAAATGCCTGGTTGTATCAAATAGCAGTAGTATCAAATAGGTACAAATAACAATATGGATATAAGCAACTGACAAAATTAGGAATGTTGTACGATGTAATTTAAGTGCACGTTTTATATCTCAGTATTGCTAATAATGTATCATAATTGTTTCATTTAGTGCATTTCGTTGAATTTATGGACTTTATTTTATATACTACTGTACATGAATTTTCAGCTATGTTTTAAGTTCGGTGATTTTGTTTAAGTTTTAAGTTAATGGATAAAGTTAATACAATAATCATGCTATACATATGCATTGTACATCTACGCATATAAAGATACTGACTATCCAAAATAATTTGATACTCTTAGTAACTGTTCCTGCATTGAGTTTGTTTTATGGATGGTCCAGGACAACAACTACAGCTGTCGATAAATTGCCAAACTGTGGGTTGTCCATCACTTTCCATGCCAAAACAGCATCTGTTTAGTCCTGTCCCAAAGCTGACAGTTTCACACGCAGACTCCCTAATTACAGATACCCTTTGTGTTTGTAACTTACTACATATTAGCAAAATACTTTCTGAAAATATGCCATACAGATGCCTCAGCTAACTTGGCCCCTACCTGACCTTTCACATTCTTTCATATCTTTAGACTTCTGGATATCATTCATTCACTAGATCCACATTAATCCTACTCAGTATAGTCTGAAGTAAGGATCACCTGATTCTGTCGTGTGACTCACTGTTTTTGCATTGAATGCAGATAAGTTAAACCTCCGTTACCAAGGATGAGGTGTCCTAAAATTTAGGCCAGCCAGTGAGTGTGCTGTCAACAAAAACACAAGCCCTTTGGCACAAAAAGTATTAAATTCACAGTGGTCAGAGAGAAGTGTTTAAACAATCAAGATACCTACCTTTATAAAGGTTTGCATCATAGAGCATTAGTCTACTGATGAGACTTTGGCTGTCTGGAAGAGGATGTGCTTCCAGGGCTACTTGACAGAAGACCTGCCGAAAACCAACTGAGAATAAAGAGGGAAAAGAAAATCACTAAAAAAGACAACTTGTAAACTTAAGCATCTTACTCTCTTTACTAGTTCACATATGTTTATCAGGCTTGATTATTTGCAATGTTAATGCCATTGTTTCTAAACAAAATAACAGCTTGGCTTAACATCTATCGCTTGCTTTTAAGGTTAGAAGTGGGCTTTAGCCTAAAACAAGAAAATGAACACAGTGGCGGTGATGGCAGACCTGAACAGTTGATAATTTTCTGAAACCAGGTTCCCAGTCGCATGGCAAAACTCTGGTGAGCCATCACACTACAGTGTAGGATCTCTACTCGCAGAGGCTCCACAGATATGTGCTCTGAGGTTGACTGCCAACACAGGACACAAAGGAGATTCAGAATATCCTTCACTTACACAGTTGGCAAAAGGTTTAAGCCTGTACTTGCTCAATATTCTAATTTGCATGCCCCATGAAACTGTCTGTTGCCATTTCTGTTGCTGAATATCCAAGAAAATAAAAGGTTATTTAAAGGTGAAAGTTAATAATTGCAAAACTGTCCATAACTCACTGATATTCCCTGGTATGTGATGAAACAAAAGTCATAGTTATTCTAGCTTCATTTATTTAACTTTCAGAAATATTTATATAAAACTGTCTAGTAGAGATATACTTAGGCTGGCATATCTAAATGGCAACAGCAACAACAGACATTAAAACAAGAAAAAAGAAATCAGTTAACAGGACTTAAGGGACACTATTGGAAATACTTCTTAAAGATGATTAGTAAAATAGAACTGGAACAATTAAAAATACCAGTAAGCTTTAATATCCCTTCTCAGACAATTTCTGCACTTACCCTAATGAGTTCCTTAGCTTCCTGACAGGACTGCTTAGTGCCTCTTTTCACGGCTCTGCGTCCCTATAGAAATGTCAATGTAGGAAGTATATAATCATACAGTGCGTTACTTTCCCATACAAAAATACACCAAACGTTCTGAATTGTAAGTGCAAATCATTTTTTAAATAATGCAATCAAATATACCCATTAAGGCTTTAACCACTTAATGTTTTCACTTGTGGCAATACGGCAATTCTTCCTACTTTTCATGGCACTCAGTGAGTAATTTTCTACAATTTCAAATCACATTGGTTGAAGTGAGAAAGCTAAATTTAACGAGCAAAAAGTACAAAACACTTAGTACAAAACAACTGAAAAGAAAAACTAGAATTAAAACATAGGTTTCTGATTTAAGAACAATAAGAATACAGTATTACAACACTGCCATCTCACTCATCTGCTCTCTCCCTTACCTCTTTGTCAATAAGTGCTGTGTGGGTCTGTGCCTCACTCTGGTTACATTGCACAGATCTCCGGAGAGTGTAGATGACATGGTCATAGGAATGGTGCTCATCATTATACAGTACACAGTAATATACATCTTCTTTCACACTGCAAGTTAGAAAAGAATGAACGAGTTAACAGATACAACAGTATTCATATTTTCTATTCTCTTTGTTAAAAAGCTCAAATCAAGTAGGAATGATATCTCTAATGTCCAAAAGTCAGAAAACAGTTTGTGAACCCTTTACATCAAATCGAAAATGCCCCCAAAAAACATATTTGTAAGTGAGCAAATTATTACTGCAGATAACTACAAAGCATACTGTCCTTCTAGAATTTTAACCCATAAAGGAATAAAAACAACAATTTGGTGGGTTTCTTTTAATTTACCTATTCAGATGTACAGCTTAAAGTCAGCTTGTTCAGTCACTGACATAGAACTGTTACTGTAAGTCATATTCTGGTCATGGTTCAAGGACAAGCCCTCCAAGCTTCTTTCACCTTCTCTTCTCTGTTTATACTTTTCTCTAACATATGAATGCACATAAAATATCAGTTTCTGAAATTATCTCAGTAGACCCTTAGACCAGCCAAAAGTAATTTTATTCAGATTTTTTAGCTGCAAAAAAGTCAATGACTCTGGGTTACAAAAGAACTCCCTATAGTCACAGGGTCAGAGGGTGTAAACAAATGCTTACACTACTGAAGAAATGAAGATAAAAGCAGGAGGATGATAATACTGAAGCCCTTTACATTTAGGTCAAAAGACTTGGCAATAAATCTCTTGTTCAATAAGGCTTCAATTAGAGAATGGAAAAGGCAGCTCTATCCAGACATAGCCTTCACTATCTATGTAAACTTCCCCTCTAGTGATTTCCATAACCTGTTCTGTGGAGACAAACATTACTACTATACCGGGGCTGCAATGATGAAGGTAGCTCTGCCCCTTCTTCCCACACCAGCATGTCGACAGTGTACCGGAAGAGAATCTGGAACAGTCTTAGAGCTCTCTCCCTCAAGCCTTCCTCCAAAACACTCTCCTCACCCTGTGCAAAACACACAAAAAACATTTCACCACTCAGGACCAAGAGGATATGGGAGGGAATTAAAGTTCTCACCAAGACTTCTTGGCCTACCCCTTGCACTTAAGATTCTAAGACTTACACTGGAGGAAAATCTAAAAAGCAAAGCTCCAGGCAGCAATACACTTCAACTGACGGCATCAGCTGTACAGAGATAAATCTGAATTATATTTGTCTTTTTCTTCATAATTATATACTTATGTGTCATGTGGGTTGTTCACTAATGGTTACAATATTTGAAAAACTGGGCAGAACTGAAATGATGGCCTTAAAATTCATAATGAAGAAAAACAGTGTGCATACTTTAGAATATTGTGTGGACCTATACTAGAATAAAGAGTTTCGCAGAATTTCTGACTTACTCTCACTTCTTTATTTTACCACTCAGAATTAAAAAGGACCAAATAGTCCTTAAAAAGCACTGTGCCACTACACCGCCCAAATTGCTCATAGCTTTGATTTAATAGTAATTTGAATCAGCTTACACTCTTTCTTAAGTGCCATACAGGCTGCAACATTTACTAGAGCCAACATAGATATAAAACAGATATAACAAAACTACATCAAACAAACCAAGTATAAAAGCAAATAAAGTAATAATGCATTTAATAAAAGTTCAGCATTCAGCATTAAGAAGCTACTAAATCATAACTTTTAATTGCACTTTACCAAAATATACACAACTATTCACAGTAATGAAACATAACTTGCTTTTAACACAATGTGCACATTTTGATTTTTCAGGAACATTTCCTTGGCAAATCTCCATGATAATCCCAAAAATGTAGCAATGAACTTTCACCCTACTTCCTCTGTACTCTATGGAAAATATTCCATTGGACCCACCAGTTAGGTTTTTCTGAGAATGCAGGGTGATAGTGATGTGTGGGCCGGCTTTGTTTTGACCCACACCCACCCGACCCAATCTAAAATCTTTTTTTTTTAACCCGTGCCCTCCCAACCCGGGGGTGTGAGTGACCATCACTACAGGTTGACATTTTAAGTGTTTCAGTGCAGTACAGGCCAGAGCAGAATAAGGTTGTACAAGCCTTTATAAGAAATACACAAAAGTGTTTTTAGTGTACAACTATGTTGCTCAAGTTCTTTGATAATGATGTAACAAATGTTTTTGGAAGTTAGGACCTTTTGTTAATTTTCATATCTTAATTCAGTATTTGAGATCTTTTTTCTCTGCTTTAACACTGAATTTTGAAGTTTAGAGCCACTGCCAAATTTTGCAACTTATGTTGCAATGATATTGCCATCTATTGTTAATGGGCAAAGTATAAATCATGATGTTGTGGTTGTGGCACTAATTTCAATATTGTCACAGATATCACCATGCCTAAAGATTAACTCCAAGAACAGTCTATAACTATACACATACTGAATAATAAATGTGAACACTTTTTGTTTAAAAATCTAGGAACAGACTGTGTGTAAATCTATATCAAATACAATCTTTGAAGATTAGCTAACCTTTCTGAAATCAAGTATTCCTTATCTATAGTTTCATCACCCACTGTCAAAACCAAATATGTCCGTAACACATCAGATGGCATGAATAAGTAAAATACAATGAAAAAGCTAATATTTTACCTAAAAGCTTTCATAATTAAACCAGGGCATTCTGAAAGAGTTCTGTTGCATCACAGATGCAGTTCGATAAAAGCATGAAACACAAACACACCAGAACAGCAAGCTTTAATTCAATAGAAACACCTGCTGTTTATGGAAAGACATCAGGGAAAATGAGTAAAGGGCTGTCTGTTTAAAATCACATCTGTTGAATGATCTCCCCAATCTTATCCTCGGTTTTATGCTCTGCCATACTTTTTTAATGTTATGTTCCACCAATCACCAATAATCATCAATGATTATTTGTATTGTCTTTTCACACATCACTGGCCTAAGCACATTACTATTCTATTGTAAACAACACTTATTTTGGGGCCCTGGGTTCTATTCTCTCCCTGTTCAGATGGGTTTCTCGACATGTGCCCCATTTTCCTACCACAGTCCGAAGACATACTTGTAGGTTCACTGGCTTTTGGGAAAATTGTCCCTGGCGTGTGAATCCAAGTCCAGTTTTATACCCTGCCTTTCACCAGTTGCTTACCAGGATAGGCTCTGGCTACCCCTTGAGCCTGAACTAGATAAAGTGGTTAGAAAATGGATAGATGGAAAAAACTTACTTTAATGCTCAATCTTATTCCAGCAGGAAATGGTGACAGTGAAACTCGTGCTCAACCACTCTCAAATGTTCTGCATTTTCATGTACGTCAAACTTAAAAAAGCCGGTCTAGAAACAAGTTTCCATGTCCCTCTCTGTCTTTCTGATCTCAATCACTCTAGCAAATTTCCCACGGAACGAATTGTTCCTTGAAAACAGCCAAGGTCATAGGGTTGCAAACATTTATCCAAGAGCAGGATTTTGTTAGGCTGAGTGCAGAAGAACACAACATCACGCAAGCAGTTAATTAATGCCCATACATGAACATTTTTGCTATGAACACCTCCCACTCCAAGCTCCGGTTTCCTGACATCTACAGTTATTACACACATACTGTGTCCATGTCCCCTGCACTTCCTGGTTCATGTTTTGTACACGAAGGACCAGTCTTCCAGGCCTCCACATCCCCACAGTCACAGAAACCGCCTCCAGAGGATGAATGCATCTAGTGAAAAGATATCACATTTCTTTAACAAGATCAATTAGTCACAGTGATTAAGTCAAATTGATTGATAGTCCTGGAAATCCCGCAGTTCAACTTTTTTTAACATAGTTTGATCACTTTTGTTAAAAACTTTCTATATTAATTGCCAAACACTAAATAATGCCCAAACTGGTTTCTGCATTATGCTTTGTTTGTGATTTTCAACTGCAGTGAAATTGAATTGCAGTGTCAATGCCTTTTGATGATACTTGATCACAACATTAATACACATTAACATATCCCTGAATAAACGCTTTGGATACCTGCTATTAAATGTTTAATTTTAATTTAACATCTCATTCACAATTTGATCAGTTCTTGATTATTAAAATCCAACGGTTAATAATATGTTTAATTAATGAACAGTGAACTGACCAAGATGAAAATGTTTGTTTGTTTAATTGCTTTTGAAATATGACCTCAGGACTTTGATAACCCATTTAATCATAGACGAAAATGAGGATTGAGTGGAATTCACCCATTACTATGACACATTGGAAGAACACTACGAAAAGATGAGTATCAGCTTCTAAGTCTAAGGACCACAAATAAAACAAATGGATTCAACTCTAACAAACTCACCTGTTAATAATCAGGGACAAATCTGGGGTTTAACTGAGCTGAATGGATGTAATTGGTGGATGTTACCATGATAAACATGGGCAAGCATAACTGCCTATTTGAAAACCATTGAAACTTTATCTACAAAAAACAAATTTACATAAACACATTTAAGGGTTTACTTTATTTATTTTCTTTTTTTCTACTAGGTAGCTAAAAAGCACAGACATACGAATTACAGCAAGAATACATTTCTTTATAATAGGCTAATAGGAAGCCTTTTATTTTCTTAATGTGTAAAAGAAAATATACAGTAAACAATTTGGAACATATTAACCCCAGTCACTACGTTTTACACAAAATTTTGAGTAATTAACACCAGTTTTCATTTTCTCTGTAGTTCATGACCCCTTTTCTAAACTCACGTAGTCTGTTCAAAGCTACACTAAAAGAAAAAACAAAGCAATGATTTAAAATTACAAAATGATTTTAAATGCGTTTTGAGTCAGCTAACCTTGGCACAATACCAAACATCTTTTTTCTCTTGTCTTGAGGTGTTAGAATTGTTTAGGTTTCTCAGTCACAAAAGCAAGTTTCTCAGCATCTCAGATCTTAAAGGAAGCACCGATTAGGAGACAATCCTTACCTTGTAACGATGACTCTTGTGTACACTGTTTTGGAAGCAGTCCATACATAACACACATGTAGGATCTATTGCACAGTCCCTGTAAAGCCAAAAAGCCTAAGCTGTAATTTAATAATTACATTTGTTACACAAGATTACATAGGGAGGACAGCCACACAAACAATTTCAGCATGATTGCAGTTACGTTTATAAAGGTACACATTTAAACTGTCTGAACCATTGCTTTCTTTTGATATTAATCTTCACAAAGCCATTGGTTTTATACATTTTTTATTCTCACATGAAATACTGCTATTCACACTTATCAGTTTAGAAAACTGCTATCACTGTACTTGACAGTTCTCATTTGAGTTTTAAGAAGGGGCTATTAATCCCCTCTTTTGCGCACCTGGGCAGTACTACCGCGTAATATTATTGTTGCTTTTATTTTATTTTTTATTATTGTCATTATTAATATTGTTATTAATTATTTTAATAAATATATTCCTTTTTTGAGGCCGTTTTTTTAGCAATTTATGTGGTACTTGTTCTATTCCCATATCATTAACATATAGCTATAATATATTACACGTAGCCTAAATAGTCATTAATACAGCACAAGAGACCATAGCTCTAGAAACCTTAAATGCAGAAAACTACAATGAAATGGAGGTCTTATTGATTTTCCCACCTGTACAGAGGATTCTAATTTCTACACGAATGCCGCTTTACCTTGCAAAACGTAAAGCCCGGAACACCCTGTCAGGTCCGTGAATCCCTCAGCGTCTTACCTGCAGGAGTAGGTGGTCTCCCCTTCCTTGAAGACTCGGCCACAGAGCTGGGAAGAGGTGCTGGTCTGCTGCAGCTTTTCCAGTCCAGTGCAGGGGTCCTCCCCGAACAGGTACCACTCCAGGGGCTGCAGCAGCAGAGGGACGGCCAACTCCTCCTCCAGCGCGGGCTGCGGCTCGGCGCTCTGGCAGTAGATCCTGGGCACCTGCTCTGCCAGGTAGCGCAGGAGCTCTGGACCAAAATCAGGCAGCTCCTTCCACATCTAGAAGAGAAAAGGCACATTTTTCCACAGCTTTGTTACTCAACTGTGACTTCTGTTTTTAAATGTTGAACAACGTATCCTGAGGCACTGAAGGTCCTGTATAAATCCTTGTGCCTCAGGGTTTATTTTGTGCACCTCAAATTAAAGACATCAACGTTTTGCCAAAAATGGAGGTTTGGGGGTTTTTTACACGGGGGATTTCATCTAGTAAAAACTTGGCTAATTTAAATTTTGTATCTTTACCAATATGTTAATTTCCTTTTTAATCTTTTCCCCCAAATTCCACTGTTCCAAATATTTCAGCAGATATCCTAATCATTCCTGACTTTGAAAACCGAAAAACAAAAACATTAAATGATCCATGATCAACCTAAAATCAATCATTCAAGGTGACAAAATGAATTTAAATCAATAATGCATTTCCTAAAAAATGCTATAGTTAGAGCCATTGTTAATGTATAGATTTGAAAAACTTTACACGGTTATGGTGTCTCATAAAAGCATTCAGACACTTGCATTGTCCTCACAGTTTTGTTGTCATGACACACAAAACAGCCATATATATTTTTCTTCAACCTACTCCACACACAGTCAAAACAAAAACAAAAATAAGTAAATAATATGAAAGAATGATTGTATCACTTTTAAAACCTTTCTAGTGTGGCAAACTTAATTTATTTAGATATACAAAATTACCTTAGATCTCAGTCTGTGTACAGTAAAAGTTGTTCACATGATTTCAGAATAAATACACGCTGTAATGTACCTCAGTCATGTGGTGAATTTCAAGGAAAAATCCAACCATCAAGACCTAGGAGTTATCAACACAACTCAGGGATAAAGTTGTACAAAAGCACTAATCAGAAGAAAGGTATAAATGATATGTCTTTCAAATTACATATGCCCTTAATATGTCTTTGAGCATGGTGAAGCTGAATAAGAAGTGAAGGCAACCAGACAGTTGATAGAAAATGTCCATAGCTCAACAATATTCCAGTTATTCCACAAACCCTTGAATGGAATTGACATACTAACATCTAAAAAACCACAAGAACCTTTCAACTTAATATTTAACTGGTAATGCAAACATGTCACAAATAGTTTTATTGTCAGATAACACAGAATTTGACTTTTCAGGTCTAAATGCAGTGTTACATCTGACACAAACCCATAGTGAACCACTCAATAAACACCCCCACTGCAAAGCATGATGGTGGCAGCATCGTCTTATAGCTTCTCATCAAGAGAAACAGTGAAGTTTATCCGATAGGAACTGAGATGGAGCAAAGAACTGGCAAATCTTACAGGAAAACCTGCTTCAGACATAAAACTGGGATGAAAATTCATCTTTCAGCAGGACAATTAACCAAAGTAGAAGGCCAAAAAGGCAATCAAAAAGTGTATTCCCTATATTGAGTAGCCCAGTCTAAGTCTCGATAGAATTCTTGACTCAATAGGAATCAGTAGCAAGACTGCTGTCTGTGAGTAATCCAAAAGCAACATGAGACAACTTAAGCAAATCTGCCAAGAATGGGCAGGAATTGCACAAAGCTGGTGTGCTAAATTGGAAGAGACTTACCCAAAACCACTTGTGGCTGTGATTACTACCAAAGATGCTTACACCAAATATTAAGTTCATGGGTCTAAATATTTATGCATTATTTCATTGTTTGTATTACTTTATCTTGAATATTAAGTTTAAGAAATTGGTAGGCATCATTTTGTAATTTCATCAATGAAAGGGCTTGAATACTTTTCCAAGACACTGCAGGTATATCCTAAATTATGATGTTCAAAAAGCTGTTTAGTAAATTCAGTAATTTACTAACAATCTTAGTTTAGTTAACTTTGTATGTCTGTATTTAGGTCTTTAGATTTTACAAATGTCACAGAAATTCACCTTTGTACTGTCAGTTTTCAAAGATGTTTCACAACAGTTTTGAAACGCTGAGAAAGTGTCCTTAAAGTGTGCTTCCTTGTAAAGCTGGATTTATCCAGAAAACAATACTGATATAAACAAAGTAAAAGTGAAACTCTGTGTTTAATTGGTAGTCCTCAAGTCTAGTCTACGTGGGACTTACGTATTAAAAATTAAAGCACATGCAATTCATGATTACAATAATTTCCGAGTTTTAGTTCTAAGATGTTGAGATGCTTCCAATAAATTTAACTAAGATTTGCTTACTTAAAAAAAACGAAGAAAAAAGTCATATTTTTCTTATGAATAGCGCCAAGTTTTCTGTTTTATTGTTTCGTTTTTATTCCATTGTATGATAATGAAATATATCACTTGCAATACTGTCACACGCTATTTTTCCTCTTATAATCCACAGAATAACAAAAACAATCAATAAAAGTTATATACATTTTTAAAATGTCGATCTTCTATGAGCGTACTTAACCACAAACTTCCGTCCCTTTCCAAACAGAATACTATTGATCTTTCAAGTATCACTACCATATTATTCAATGTTATTAACTACAAGCAGCTCTTGTTGAGTCTCTTGAAAAACCAATAAAACCCAAGATTCAGGTCGATTTTAAACTAGTGAGATCAGGCAGTGTCACTCTTGCACTTTTATTTGAAAAGCAATGCATTCTGAATTAAATACATATCCACTGTCATCTATTGTTTCCAATCCTGTACTGAGATCTTAAAAGAAAAATTAAATTGCAGCAGTTTGCTATAATTCCTTCAAGAAATCTAACCAAAATTCAACCCCAGGTAAGAAGAATAGTATTTGTAGAAAAGAAAAAAGCTAGTATCGAAGTAGTATACAAATCGAAGAAAAGAAATATACGCAATAAGTAAACGTAGAAAATTACCAAAATAAAATTAAATATACTCACCATACTGAGCTCTCGTTTTGTTAATGTCTCTTCACCTTCCGCCATCTTTCATCTGCCGTAATCTGTTACCAGGACAACGTGTGAGACAGGTCCCAAAACTGCTTTACGACATTGTGGCAAGCGACAGTATCTGTCTTTACACGGCATGGTTGTACGCAACATGCACACATACCAGTGCCTGTAATACTCCTAAGGCTCTCTAGAGACATGTACTGGAATAGAAAAGTAGAAAGGTACAGACTTCATAAATCTCACCTTACTACAACTGAAACTATATTGAGTACCGAAAGAAGCCTATTACTGTGCATGTTTGTCATTAAAAAAAATGAAGTATACTGATTTTGGATGTTGATTAAATGTTTATTTTCTTACTGCCAGCAGCCATATCATCTTGCAACTCACAACTGGCAACCCATTGAAGCTAAGCAGGTGTGAGCCTGGTCACTACCTGGATGTGAGACCTCCTGTGAAAAACTAAGGTTGGTGCTGGAAGAGGTGTTAGTGGGGCGCTCACCCTGCGGTCTATGTGAGTCCTAATGTCTAAGTATAGTGACGGTGACACTATACTGTAAAAAGGCACCGTCCTTCGGATAAGACGTAAAACTGAGGTCCTGACTCTCTATGGTTATTAAAAATCCCAGGGTGTTTCTCAAAAAGAGTAGGGGTGTTACCCCCAAATGTCCCATTGGCCTCCTAATATTCCCCATCTATGAATTGGCTTCATCACTCTGTTCTCCTCCCACTGATAGCTGGAGTGTGATGAGTGTTCTGGTGTACTATGGCTGCTGTCACATCATCCAGGTGGGGCTGCACATTGGTGGTGGTGGAGGGGAGTCCCCATTACCTGTAAAGCGCTTTCAGTGGAGTGTAAAGAAAAGCGCTATATAAATGTAAGCAATTGTTATTATTTTTTAATCATTTTGATTAATTCAAATTCACCTGGTGAAAATCAGTAATAAAAATAATAATACATGTAACAACAACGTTAATTTACAAAGCACCTTTCCAAACCCAAGGAAATTATTCATAGGCCCTAGTAGTGCATTTTACGCTTAGATTTGAAACAGACAGAGAATGTGTCTCTTGACAAGAAATGACATTCCATAACAATGGAGTAAGAAAAAGCACTGTCACCAAAAGTGTGATATTAAGTCCCGGGTTTAGTGAGCAAAAGATCTCGACTGAAAAGACTGTATGAGAAGGAGTGTAAACATAAAGCCATTCAGAGATGCATGAAGGAGCCAGATTATTTAAAGCCTCAAAGGTCATATTGAATACATCACTTGCCAGACTTGTTGCTTATTAAGTGAACATCCAACATTAAATATATGTTGGAATCCAGAAGTGGCACATCAGCTACTGTGACACAGAAAAGCATAATGATGAGGTAATTTTATCAAACCATCCAGCGACATGCCAGCAGGACAACACACACACACACACTCCTTTTTCTGGGGTAATATTGCCTTTCAGAGATCACAATGACTAATAGCGCAATTCTGAATGTCCTACTTGCCAGACTTGAGCCCCCTTAAACATTTGCTGGATGAATTGGGACAAGAAGAGGCTTTTAAGGCTCAGAAACCATTGAACAGGCTCATGCTTATCCAGGCTCTACTAGAGGAACCCCACAAGACACCTGCAACCTGGTGCCAATCAGGCTTCTCAGAAGTACACCTTATATAGCTTCCAAACGTGGCCACACACTTCTGCCTGGGATTTTCACAAAAGAGCCTCTGCTGATAATACATATTAATCAACATTTAATAAAGATGACTACGTCTTAATAATTTCATTATTAAATAATGAATGCATATGATAGAACCTGTTACAAAACATTTTTTATTTACTTGATATCTTTGGCAGTTTGTTGCCGGAATAAATTTGATTATTTTATTACTTATGTTTGTTATATTGTTTTTGTCTAGAAGTATCTTTGCATTTTTTATTAAACTTCTTATTATTTTTAAATGTTTCTGAATACAAGTCGCCCCTACATTAAGTAAATATATATAATTTGATGTCAGAAATACTTAACTTTCCCGAGAGTTTCTCAGACTTTAAAAAAAAAAAGACAAAAAGGTCCTCATACTTCCGCTAGAAGACCCACCTACCGAACTGTTGTCACATGACGAACGATTTACTGATAGGCCGCGTTTGCATGACCCATCCCCCGGAAGGTCAAGGTTCAAAGTATGTTAGTCAACAGAAGGATCAAATATGGATTCCATTTTTCACGAGAAAGTAAGTCGTTTTGAAACATTTAATCCGATTCGGGGGGATTTAAATATATTAGTGTGTGGTTTGTCTGGCTACCTCAAACCGTGATTTTAATAAAACGAATGAATGAAACTTTAAAATTCTTCTGCATTTTCCTCTTTTAACTAGTGAAACCTCCAATGTTTATGTTCTTTAAAAGACTACTGTTTCTGCTTTGGCAAACTTCACTGGAGCAACGTACATGTATAAACGTGTTTAAAGTTATCTGGGAAATTCCTCGATGTATAACTGAGTCTGGTTTGGTTAGTTTTGCATATGCAGTAGGTATCGATCAGCTTCCACCACTTTTTCATATAATTCATATACATTTTTTTAAGTACAGTTTGCCTTCTTTAATTTCCATATTGTAGATGTAATCATGTGTGTAAGATGTCTTTGTATTATCATTGATTGCAGGGTGTGGCTGTCTAAAATCGTGTTGTTTGGTTGCTTAAAAAGTGAACTCCTTATTTTGAGTTGACTGTTGTACTCTCTGTCATAGCAAGAGGGCTCCCTTTGCGCCCAGCATTGTCTGAATAACCTACTCCAGGGGGAGTATTTCAGCCCTGTCGAGCTGTCCTCCATCGCACAGCAACTGGACGAAGAGGAGCGGATTAGAATGGCAGAAGGAGGAGTCACTAGCGAGGAGTATAGGACCTTTCTGCAGGTAACAGCACTGGGGCTTGGCCATTTATGGGGGGGGGGGCAGGAGAGCCCTTTTCAAGACTTTTGTCTTCCAATTCCAGCAATCTGAGCAAAATCAAGCAGGACCCTACAACTGTTATAAGTAATGTTACCATTAATTCTGAAACAATGAACTGAACTGTAGGGCAACAGGTTAACTCAGTTCTATCAGATCAGGTGAGCTGTGTTAGATTGAAAATGTTGCACTGTTATGGTGATAGATTGAACAGTTGGTTTTCCTCTGTCTCTAGAGACCCTGTGAGCAATTTGAGCAATCCCTTGAACTGATTCTTAAGGCCACTAGGAGCTCTGTTTGAATATTAACAGATATTGTGGGCAAATATTCTGATGGCCACACAGTGGGTGTACTTTTTTGTCTCACTGATTGTAACTGAGATACTGTTTTCTGGGATACTGCACATATGTGTCCTTCCTCTCCAAATTCTTCATGAACAATTTAATTCATAATGTGAGCTTGGAGGGTGGCACGCTGGAGTTTGTATGTTCTTCCTGTGTTCGTGTGAGTTTCCTCCAGGTGCTCCAGTTTCCTCCCACAGTCCAAAGATATAGTGCTAGGTGAATTGGCTTGTGGGAAAGTTGGCCCTGGTGTTTGTGTGTGCATGTTTGTGTTTTTTTCTGTGTGTGTCCTGCAGTAGACTGGTGTCTTGACCAGTTTCCCTTGATCCTGAACAGGATAATGGTTAGAAAATGGATGGATGTGAGCTCAGCATTCCTTATTAAGTTATCAATTATAGCCCGTTGCTTGCAGTACAAGCAAAATATAGACCAGACCCATTGTCATGCATATTAACAATAATAATCGCCAGGTGTTTACAGAGTCCTGTGGTGCACAGCTCGGGTCATTAATAGGCAGTTTAGTTCCTAGGGCATATTTGCTTTGCACTCTAAATATCTTTAGGGGAACTACTTCTACCTGGACTACATTTAAATATTTAAGAGTTTGTGCTTGTCTGCTTTTTCGTATTCAATACCTTGGTTTTAGAATGATTTACACATGTCTTTAGAGGAGTGGAACAGAATGGCCTGCATCACAAGCATTGACTATGGTCTCACCTCTCCTGATGCCTATGAGTGATTGGCATTTCTCCTTCTGTAAAAGGAGATGTGACTATCCCTTCTATTTCAGGTGCTAGCTTATACTTCTACTGTTTTAGGACTCCTCTAGTACTTACTGATGACAACATGTATCTAGCTTTGTCTTTTTCCTGTTCTCACAGCAACCATCTGGAAACATGGATGACAGTGGCTTCTTTTCAATTCAAGTGAGTTTTATAAAGTTGCACAGTTTAAAAAAAAACTCAAATGTAAACTAAATATTAGAACCGGTGGATTTTCAGGATTTATTCTTATTCTTAATTTATTCATTTGACAGGTAACTTCATGCAGTTCTTGTGTCTTTCATAGAACATTATTAAATTAAAGGTAACTGTGTAGACTGTAGACAGAAAAGGAATATTATTTTAAGCTGAAATAATATAAATGATATATAAGCTGAATTATAAATATAAGCTTTGTATCTTCAAAATATTTTTTTGGAACTGAAATCTGAATACACTGTAAAAAGTTAAAATTGGATATAATATACTGTCATGTATACAAATATATACATGTAAACACATGTTTTAGGCTCTTTAAGTTTTTTTTTAAACTTGTTTTCTCTTTTCTTTGTGCATAATAGGTGATAAGTAAAGCACTGGGAGTCTGGGGCCTGGAACTGATTCTTTTCAATAGTCCTGAATATCAAAGATTGATGATTGACCCAATGTAAGAACTTTGTTTACTAAAAACTAATATAACGGTATCAAAGGTAAAAGGAGAAAAGACAGATATGCCTGAAAATCATTTAATCTGTATTCAACTCTGTTGTATCTTTGTATTAAAATCCATTGCAGAATGGATTACTCAATATCCAATAGTTTATCATTAAATACCTTAAACGTCTTGTGAATTGGGGTGGACCGGTGGCTCTGTGGCTAAGGATCTGTGCCTGTGGCTGGAAGGTTGCCGGTTCAAATCCCTCAGCCAGCAGAGTAATCCAACTCAGTTGGGCATGCTCTTTCTTACAAAGTCCATGTGTTACTGGGGGTTTAGCTACTGGCTGTTGTAAGGTCAAACCTCACAACAATGGTGTGTGACAGTGTTAGCACATGTCTTTGACAAAGCTTATGAAAAAGTAATAAATTCATGTGTTCATAGCATTAATGTTTCATCAGTTATATGCTTAATTGGTAATGTAATTGTTTAATTTATTGTAGAAATGAGAAGGCATTTATATGTAACTACAAGGAGCACTGGTTTACAGTACGAAAACTAGGACAACAGGTAACTTTGACTGCCACTTGTTATTTGACATTTCGTCTTCATTTTTGTTATCTTAGTCAAAGAAGTTAACACAATTTAAATAGTGTTTGTAAGCAGAGTTTATTTTTTTTACCCATTTTTAATATACTGTACATTTTGTCATTAGCTCCAGAATTTCGTCTTGCTTTTATGTTCTAATTAATAAAGCATTATTAATTTTTTTAATACTTTCACGTGGACCTACACAAAAACTAAAAGGTGCACTTTGCATCCATGGCTACTGTAAATCACTTTCACTTGGACCAAATATATAAAGTGTGTTTTTGCCTGAAGGACAGAGTATAAGAATGTTAAGGAACTTGGACAAGGTAGCGTGAAGTGAGTCACGGCAAAGGATTTCACCAGGAGCTGCCAAATACTTTCCTAATCTACTGGGCTGCTCATTATTGATGTACTATTTTTACATTGATTTTAGAGAGCAAAAATGTTTTTGTCTTACTGTTCAGTATAAATACTTACTGAGTACGGTTCTAAATTAATATTTTTAAGATCTTGACAATTGCCATAAACCTATTAAAGATAATGCTGATATGTTAAATGCCCCTTTTACCAATTCAAATTTAATTTAATTTCTTTCTTGAAAACTTGTAGTGGTTTAATCTCAACTCTTTGTTGACTGGACCTGAGCTGATTTCGGACACTTATCTTGCCCTTTTTTTAGCACAATTACAGCAAGAAGGTGAGTACAATAAAGAGATCTTTTATTCTTCATAATTTCTGGGAATGGATAAAAAATGGGTACAGTGAGTTTTATCAACATTGACTGATTCTGATTAATTATTAGTATATAATAGTATATCATACCTACTTTAGAATGTTTATATTTTTGTAATTCTTTCTAAAAAGAACCCAGAGTATCTGAAAGGGCTTCTCATATCTGATATATTATTGTTATAAAGCAATAGAGCTCTGTGTTAATGTTTTACTGTATAAGTGATAAGAAAACCTTTTCTTTAAAAAACAGTTGCAATCGGATGTTTTTTATGATCTTCATGTCAAAGTTTTTGTTGTTATGAAGTAATCGAGAGAAAGTCCAACACATTTTCTTTGCCTGTTTTGGCCTCTGTTTGTTGCTTTTCCCAGGTTATTCAATTTTTGTTATTAATGGAAACCTCCCAGAATGTGATGCAGACCAGATACTAGGGATCATGAGGGTGGAGCAGAGGCAGAGGCCCAGACTGATAGGCGAAGAGGTGGCTCAGTCCGGTAGTGGGCAAGGGTGAGTGAAACATGAGAACAAAATACTCATCGGCAGAAGCTTCCATATCGTGTTGGCTTGGCTGATGTATACGGCAAGATGGAAATGCTTCTTTACACCAGGAGTTATTTTGTACTTGTTGAGCCAGTGCCAAAATGATACCAGGGTGACTCAGAATATTTGAATAAGGATATTTTCCAAATACATTTAGCAGTCGAATACCTTTATAAATGTCTGAATATTGGGATGAAAATATAAATATTGTCATCAGCTGGACCAATGAGGGAACTATATCAAGACATTTTTGAATGCAAAAATGCGTTATGACCAAGAAGTTATAATCTGTGATATCAAGTTAATTTTAATTTAATTTCTTTAAGTATATTTCTCACTCTTAAAGCCCTTGCTCTTTGAATTGTGCTTTTGCATATTTTCTCCCGGTAATATTTTTTATTGTAGTCTGGTAATGGACAGAACACTGAACTCCAACCAGAACTTGGAAGCAGTGCCAGTAGATGAAGATGAGGAGAACTTGAGGAAGGCTCTGGCACTTAGCCGACAAGACATTGAGGTGGAGGATGAAGAGGCTGATCTACGAAGAGCTATTCAGCTTAGTATGCAGGGTATGAGCAGTACGTTGTCTTTTTTGTGTAAAGAAACAGTTTTTGGAGTTGAGAGTTCCTCAATCTCATTTATTCTTCAAAATTTAAAATAACTTGGACTATTACATTATGCAAGGTATTTGTTAGTGTTTTTTTTTAATAAGCAATTGTATGTTTACATGAAAGGAAATGACAGAAATTCAACCAGCTTGATAAGTATACTGTTGGGAAAATCTATTTGGCCTCACAGTGCCTTCGTAGCAGAAAATGTTGTAAAAATTCAGTCATATTTGTTAGATTTGTTCGTCTTTTTCCATTCTGTCTTCAGGTACTACAGGCAACACTAAGCTTCCTGATCCCAAAGATGAAAATATTGCCCATACATCAACATCAGGCCAGAATGAAACGCTAACAGCAGAGGAGCTTCGAAAGAGAAGGCAGGCCTATTTTGACAAGTAGGTTTGTCCACCTTTCCATTTTCCTTGTTTCATTTTCAGGTTATCCTTTAGTGTCTCTGAGAACTACGGACTGTCTGTGTAGCACCAGTCTGGAGTGATGGTGTCACATGATAGACACAAAATAACTAGACGACTCCTATTTTGGGGGAAAAAAACATGTATTTTTCCATCTTCAGGAATATAAAAATGGCTTTAGTTTATTTCATATTCCCTTTCAAGTTAGTTCCACCACATGAACTTGAAATTAACACTGCATAAAAATACAAAAAGTTTTTCACAAGTATGTAAAAGGCTTCCAGGTGACCCAACCAGCAGAAGTGCTCAATGAGACAGCATACTGGACCTTTTAGACCAAGCATTACTGGTTCATGTAGGCAATGGCATTAGTAGATAATTCACCAAGCAGCAGAACACAATTGATCAAGCACCAGTCTACCAGGTTATCCTTTTTTAATCACAGTGAGCTATGTGCCTGTGAACATTTAGTGTCATCAGTGTGAGCCACATCTCTCCATCCTATGTGTGTACTCTGCAGTGGAAGCTGGGGTTCACAGTAGGAATAAAAGGCAGGGTGGACTTTTGTCTAGAAGTAATGGGTCAGCCAAAAGCCAGAAAGGAATGTACCCAACAAGATATTCTTCAACATGAAGTAGATTAAAGATATTAATGATAAATCCCATTTTATGACAGGCAGTCAACACAGCAGGCACGAGCTACAGCACCACAACAGCAAGAAAGCAAAAGCACTGGCACACTGGCAAATGACACAGGTAATATAGACACATCAGTGGCAATAGGACTTTTGATTTGTGATCTATTTTCCATTATGGGTTTATGAATATGAGGGCCTTATTTTATCTCTTTGAAAATCCTGGGTAAACTGAACTCTTCCTACTTATTTCATTAAATGTTTCTACAGTTTACCCACCAGGAAATTCAAGTGGGTAATGTGCTGTAAATTGCAATAAATGTTTTAGCTAACATAAACTGAGAGTATTGATCAAGCATGATTTGTGTGAATTGGAAATACCAAAACATGAAGAAAATAAAATCATGATATGGGAGCTGCCACAACCAGTCTCCTGCGTCTCCTTTCTGTGTAATTGCTGCTTAGAAAACGGTTCCATTTTTAACTGGGGGGGATTAAAAAAAGGCCTAGTACTTCTCTACAGTTTTATTTTTTTGATTGTTCTGTTATTGTGGAGGAGAATTTAAAATCCTTCAGACACTTTACAAACCAGTTATGTTTGTCTGCTTTGCACTGTTTAAACAGGGGAGGCTCCAAATGAGCAAAACGCAACGCAGTCAACCTTAGGTCTAACTCCGGAGCAGCCTGACTCCAAGACAAGTCAGTAAAACATGGAGAATCCAGTGGTCAGTCCCAGAGTACTCTTCGCAATGCCCGTCCTTCTGTTCTGCTGAACTGTAGCAGCTGGTTGACCCAATGCATGAGCACAGAGCGTGTTGACGGAGGACTGGGTTTACAGATACTTGGAAAGGAAAACCGAGGGTGGGGGTTTGCGATCCTGTAACTGTATAACTGCCATTCCGTGTCCATGACGGCCTTCTGCTTCAGCACCTTGTCGTTTATTTTATTTGGTTTTTGTCATTCTCCTTCAAAAATGTGCATGTTTGTGCAAAATGCATTAATCAATGTAAGTAGAAGGGAAAGGGGAATTTGCAGTTTCTGAAAAACAGGGTACATGATGGATCTACAAGGTGTCCAGACTGTCCCTTTTGGAAAGGTATGGGACCACATGTGAATGAATCCTTTGTCCGATACGGTCAGTTCAGATCCCCCCCCCCCCCCAACTCCTCCCAGAATCCTGTTGGAAAGGGTGTCGAATCTTGACAGATAAAAGAATGATAGATTCTGTTTTCAGAAAACCGTAAAAAAATAGCATTAATTAAGTCTCCTAGGAATCGGAAAAGGTCTTTACTCATTGGCCATAACTAAAAGGAGAACTTCTTTCTTCCGATATTAATTTATGAGGCTTTATCATTTAAAGTCTTTCCGCTAGGAATCTGATTTTGTAAAAAAGTCATACATCACCATTACTTTACTATTTACCTTACTGTACATTATGTTTTAAACCTCCTAGATAAAAAATAATTAACACTATTTTATTATAATTTACTGTAGGGGCTATGAAGTGTTTACTTTTTTGTGCGTTTACGTTGATGTTACATTTATTTGGTCCAAGAAGAGGTGCCAATTTTCAAAGTATGTAGGTTTCGGTTAAAAGTTCTCCGGATGTAAAATTTCTTATCATTTATATTTCTCACATTTTTAAGTTCTGAGGTATACATAATTAGTAAAAAGTTAAAAGGGTTAGGTTGTCTTTTGTTTTAATAGTTTTCATATCATGATTTAATGTTTTGTTTATTTTGTTTATTACTGGGATCACTCTGAACATAAAAGGTTTAGGATTTTGTTTTGGCATTTATTAGTGCGGCAGATCTTAACAGTTTTAGAGATATTTAAATTATTTGATTTTTTTAAATGTAAACTGCATTGCCACATGATTGTCTACATTTGAAAACCTTTTCTTCCCATAAATAAACCTTTTTTTCCATGCCAGTCTCTTCTTCATTTTTTCCCTTTATAATGTGCAGCTTATGTATTCTTTTTTACCAAAAGATCTCCAGAGGATTGCAATGTATACTGTACACGTTAAATATAGTGGTGGTCTCATTTTTACTAAATTTCAGATTTTCAGAAACCTAGAACTTTGCAAATAGAAACATCTTTTTCTTTGTAAAGTTGGACCTTTTTGTGACATGGAAGGTTACACTATTATTCTGTTGCTTGAATTCTAATCTCATATCAACTTTGCATTTTTCTATTTGAAATCCTTCATTTTTAACAGCCAGAAAAATCCCTTGACTTTTACATAATTGGAAAAGAGATGAGGTAGTTTTACATAACCTCTTTGAGGAAAAAAGAAACCTGCAATAAGAACTGGCCCTTACTTAGGCCATCGTGAGAGGGCTGAAGAGGTGATTTTGCATTACAATATTAGAAAACGACCATTGCATTTCAAATAAGGCTAAAATCCCAATTATTACACAAAAGCTGCTCATCAGACTGCTTCTCAAACCTTTTTGTAATAGCCAAAATTTGTTAATCAGATTTAATATTAGCAAGGTTTTTAAAAATAAAAAATCGAACAAAGTTTGTGAAAGAATGGAAATTATTTGTTAACAGAATTTATATATTCAATTCCATTGGAAATTAGAAGCTAGACATAGTGCACCGACTGATGCCATTGTGCCCTATTTTCCATGTTGCTGGCATCTGGAGATGTGAAGAAAGTACAGCTGGGAGGGAAAGACTAATTACCACCACTAATAACTCCAACAGAGGGAAGCTTTCAAGAACTCCCTCCTGTCTCAACGCTTCTGTAACAGCAGGAGGATCAAACTGCGCAAATAACACAATAGAATACCAGCTCCTGCAAAACTAAATTGCACAGTGATGTACTTTCCTGAAAGCAATTATCAAGTGTCATGTTTGCACAAGGGCTAAAGAAATTATGAACCAACACTTGAGATTATAGACTGGCACCATGTCTCACAATTGGCTGCATGAAGGTTTTCGAGTAGTGTTATGAAGTTTTGGCACTGATGTTAAAAGAAATGATGTTTCTCCATGTGATTGCTAGTTATCTGATAGAGGGATTTTCTTTTTTTTTCATTAAACACAAAATATATATAATTTATACATATACATTTAATATACTGATAATCTGTCTTAACTTGATTAACATAAATATTCCTTCGGACATTCTATTTAACCTATATTTCACTTTTAGCATTTTTATGATTTTGCAATTGTAGGTGATTCAGCAAATGTACTGTAGGTTCAAAAAGTTTGAGAGTGCCTTACTTTCCTTCCTGCTTGAATTTTGTTCCATATGAGACAGCTTGACACTTCCTTTTAAAACCAACTTGGTCATCTCCCAGAGCTGAGTGGGTATTTGTTCAGATTTAAGGATGTCATTAAATTCTGTGAAGTTATTCTATTTAAAAAAAAGTCCTCATCTTTTTTTTAAAAATAGATAAAAATGCTATCTGAAAGGTGTATATTTAAATCATATTTATGTGAAATTTTAAAACTAATGGGTTTATCGTTAGACAGAATGGTTGTATCATTTATTCTGATATTCTAGATAATTTATCAGAAAAAGATCATCCCTAAAAAGATTTATCACACGGATAGTAATGTGAATATTCTCCACCTATAATTGTTTTTTACTTTGAAGAATTTTTAGTTTAGAGAAAGATACAAAAAAAAATCAGAGAATATTCTTTGGTCTGTATAGGTTTACTGCTAGAATATTGGATCACCATTCCACAATGCTTCCAAACTGTTTTGTGAAATGAAAACCTAGCGTTATGTATTTAATGTCTACACTCTGCTTAAGCACAATCTCATATTTCATACAAATGCACTGTCCGGCTTATTACGTTTGTATTTGTAGATTTCATTGTTAAAATTCCCCATGTTACATTGCAGTGTATTAAAAATATATTTGATTAGTCAATATCTGTGACTTCTGCATGCATGTCCTATGTGTGTTTCCATAATTGTTTTAGTAGACTGAACAGTAGATACAAAGATATACCTGAAAAAAGTACGACTTTACGTTTCACAAGAGGCCTAAATGATTTGTTTCATGACGTTTCAGAAAGTTCAGCTGTTTAGAAATAAATGAAAGCACCAAGCAGTTAATATGTTGTGTATTAACAAAATAATGTGCATAAAAACAAATGATTTTTTCAATCATTTAAACTCTGCGTAGCATAATGTGCACTACTGTTCAAAGGTGTGTAAACAATGAATAATATCAGTATTGTTCATTCATTTTCACTCTTAAATATTATTCCCACTGTCATATTAAAAATGTTTTTGTCCAGAAAGATTTGAAACCTGAGTTTTTCTGAGCCACCCAGCATTGAACCTCTTGAAAAAAGCTGGCCATTATTTACAAAATAGTTAATAGACAACCACAAAAGTACACTTGCACTTTGCTCCTCTAAACATTATATTTGGGTATTTTCTTTTGCCTGTAAGACACTTTTGAGACAAAAAAAGTAGAGAAGCAGGAACAGAAGCCAAATATTGTAAGTTAAACATCATCATTCTATTTAATCTTTAAGTCGGATTTACAATATAGCTGTACTATGGTGTACTATGGTGGTAAAAGGAGGAGTAAATCACAATATTGCATTTGCGAGAAAATTGTCAATTCCGTGTTTAAACATGTTAAACTACTAATAGTGTAAAGAAAATATCTCTGAAATAAACCAGGGTAGTAAGTGAAGCATCATAGCTTTAGGGATCTGGGTTCAATTCTAGGCTGTTGTGCATGCTGGGTGGCTTTCTACAGTATGTTATATGTGCATTTTCTCTTTGTACAGTAAGCATGATTTTTCTCCAGGTGTGCCTGGTTTCCCCTCTCTTCTTAACGAAACCTGGTAGATTGATTAGCTATGCTAAATTGCCAAATCCACGAGGAGTGGGGTCTCTGTCATTAATCTGCCTGTAAAACATAGTTCTCCTACAATACTGACCTCAAAATATGTGAGATAAGGTTCAGATGAAGAATATATAGACATCGGAATGACTTACTTATTAATCATCAATTCTATATTTAAGTAATAATTCAAAATTATGACTTAAATTTATGTAAAATTTGTGGTTTTACAAACCTTTGAACAGAACTACATGTACTGTACATGTATGGAATGTTTACATTGCATTGGAGCATTACACAATGCAAACATATTATATTTTGCTTTTTACTAGCATGTTTTCATTGCTTGAGAATTAAAACTGCACAAATGCCTCACACCCTGCCTTATGTTGCATTTTATTGTGTCTGTAGGGGTGAAATCAAAATGAAGACAAGACTTCTTTTTCTGGTATGTGCCTCACTCTTTGCCCCCCTGAGCAAAGGTCAGAAGGAAAATCCCACTATCATGGACCTGTCTACAAAAAACACAGATTTTGCTATGAACCTTTACAGGAAGCTTGCCAGCCATCATGATGACAACATCTTCTTCTCCCCTTTGTGCATGTCAGTAGCATTCACCATGCTATCGATGGCTGCAAAAGGGGATACTTACAATCAGATCCTTAAGGGTCTCAACCTCCAACTGCTTCAACGAGCGGACCAGGCAGACCTGATCCCTGAACTGTTCCGACAACTGGAAGCCAATATCACCCAAAACCAAGACTTGATACTGGCCCGGGGCAGTGCTATGTTTGTTCATCAGCAGTTTGAAATTGATAAGATTTTCAGTGAGCAAATCAAGAAGTTCTTCAACTCAGATATAATGAACATAGATTTCTCCAAGACCGAAGCTAGCAAAACAACCATTAATGATTATGTAAAAATGAAGACGAATGAAAAGGTCATGGGGCTCATCAGTCAGATAGATCCTCTTACTCAGTTGGTGCTTGTAAATACCATTCTTTTCCAAGGTGGGTGAATAATAATACTGTAGCAACCTCACAGATGGTAAAATGAGGATAATGAAGAGATTACAGGTTTACCGTTCAGATTTGATGTTTTTATGATTTAGTTTGAAATTCAACATATAATGGAGTATAAATATATTATTAATATTATATTAATGCCCAGAATTGTCTGGATGCTCAATTGAAATGTCTTGAGCAAACCTTTCTTTAATGAATCAAAATTTAGAGCCGTAGCTACAACAAATATCTCTATTGTTTAAAATAATTTACTTAGTAAAGCATTTTAAACAATAGAGATTTTGATATGGTTGAAGAAAGTAACACTAGAACTCTTCAGTTTAATATTGGCTCAAAATCTGAAGGTAATTATGTAAAAAGTGTTCTACATTGTTCAAATACATATTATTTATGTTGTGTCTGTTTATATATTATAATAAAAAAGAAACCCAAAAAAGAAAAACATGAAACTTCCTGACAAGTTGGCATTGACTCAGATTTCATTTGTTATTAAACAGATTTGACTTTGTCTTCGTTTAGGCAAATGGGAGCTACCATTTAACTCCAGCTTTACAGAGGAAGCACGATTTTATGTTGACAAATACAATATTGTCAAGGTCCCCATGATGTTCCGAGAAGATAAATATTACTTGGCCTACGATCCTGTGCTGAAGCTCGGCATTCTAAAGTTGCCATACAGAGGCCATGCTGCAATGCTGGTCCTTCTTCCTGACAAGGGTGTTGACTATACATCCATCGATGATGAAATCTCTGCAGAGAGCTTTCTGGGATGGATACAGAAACTGAAGAAAACGTAAGCAGACCTCTAATAAGTGCTTTCTTTTTTAATGTATTTAGTTGGAAAACTGGAAAGGTACACGCAAACCTTACAGAGCCTTGCAAAAGTATTCAGACTCCTCTGATGTTGTCCCATTTTGCAGAATTACAAAACACACACCTCTTTTTCAATTTAATGTTTTATTCTAAACCTGAATGCTCGAACTGAAGAGGTGTCAGGGTAAGATTAATGTCAGTAAATGTCAGTAAAAATAAAGAGAAAAAAATGAAATCTGTTGATTGCACAGGTATTCAGATTCATTTGGGATTCAAACAGTGCAATTTTAACCATCTTTTTTGGCAGATTTGCTCAAGCTCTCTCAAGTTGCTTGAGGATAATAATAATAATAATTGCTAACACTTATATAGCGCTTTTCTGGACACTCCACTCAAAGCACTTTACAGGTAATGGGGACTCCCCTCCACCAATGTGCAGCATCCACCTGGATGATGCGACAGCAGCCATAGTGCACCAGAATGCTCACTACACATCAGCTATCAGAGGGGAGGAGAGCAGAGTTATGAGGCCAATTCATAGATGGGGATTATTAGGAGGCCATGGTTGGTAAAGGCTAATGGGAAATTTGGCCAGGACACCTTGGTTACACCCCTACTCTTTTCGAGAAACGCCCTGGGATTTTTAATGACCACAGAGAATCAGGACCTCGGTTTTACGTCTCAACCGAAGGACGGCGCCTGTTTACAGAATAGTGTCCCCGTCACTATATTGGGGCATTAGGACCCACATGGACCGCAGGGTGATCGGCTCCTGCTGGGCCCACTAACACCTCTTCCAGCAACAACCTTAGTTTTTCCCAGGAGTTCTCCCATCCAGGTACTGACCTGGCTCACACCTGCTTAGCTTCAGTGGGTTAACAGTTGTGAGTTGCAGGGTGATATGGCTGCTGGCAGTAAGAAAAGAAACATTTAATCAATATCCAAAATCAGTATACTTCATTTTTTTTATGATCACCCTGGTCACTTGTGGATAGCAGTTTTCAAGTCTTTCCACGGGCTCTCAATAGGATTCAGGTCAAGACATTAACTGAGCTGCTCAAGGACAGGCTGCCTTCCACTTCCTAATGATCAGCTTACCCATGCACAAGGAGATATTAGAGTCTTTGAAGTGAATTTATACTCTTCTGTGCCTTTACATAACTTTGTTACAAGGCATCTGAATACTCAAAACTGAACCCAAGAGCAAGAAAATGGAGAGTGGATGAAACACCCAAAGATCCAACTCGGCTTGAGCCGAGGGAAAGTGAAGTAAAAAGTAGTGCCAATACAATGATACATTACTGGCCAGTGGGGGGATTAGCCCAGGCCCAGGTTAGTAAAGAAAGAGAAAAGGGCAAAGCTGCTACAGTCTAAAGAGAAGCTGGCTGGCAGCATCGCAGGTGAAAAAAGGAAAAAGGGATAGCATGGTGACCTCAGTCCTTGATCAGAATCAGGGAGTTTTGGCTCTTGGGAAATTGCTCTCTTGACTTTGGAGTGGATACCTACTGCTGTGCTCCCCAAAACAAGGGGACCGCATGGGTCTGGTGGGCAGTCCTAGTCTGGGTTAATTAGACTGGGGTGCAGGCAGGTGGACAAGCAGACTGGTGCAGGAGAAAATTAAAGGGAAGAAATCTTCCTTTAAGAACTGGCCACCGAAGCAAAGATTGCCCTAGCCCGTCAGCAAGCAAAAAGAATAGAGATAATAAGTTCACTGTGGCGAGAAAAGAGAAAGGCTGGCATTACACAACACCAGCCCTCATTCAAACTGCCCACCTCAGCCCATGGACTGGGATCAGGGGGCCTTAGCTCTTGGAATATTGCTCTCTCGGCTTCAAATTCCTACTGCAGAGCTCCCAGAAAGAGGGAGCTATACAGGTTGATGGGGGGCAGCCCTCTTGTGTAGCCAGGGATGTGGACTGGCAAGCTAACAGGATAACACACAGAATAAGAAGCACTCATTAAGTGCTGCCTGATTTAATTGTCAGTCCTCAAAAATGTTACTGTGTATCAGGTAAATCTATTATGGCTGATTATCCTTATCATGTCATCATGCTCCAAGAATAAATATATATATATACTCTGTCATTGTGTTGCAGAAAACTAGAAGTACAGCTGCCTCGGTTCAAGATGGAGCAGTCCTACAACATGGACAAAATTCTTCCAGATCTGGGCATTCGAAACGTGTTTGAAAATACGGCTGACCTTTCAGGCCTAAGCAAGGAAGTGGGACTCAAAGTTTCTGAGGTCAGTGTGATATGAAACAATATCTCATTTTAATAGCTCCTGTAGCTCCTGTAGTTTATTCACAACCATTTGTTCTGTCAAAAAGGCAACAGAATCAAGAAACTGTTGCAAAGGCTTTCTGTGGCACAGTGTACGGCACCTCTACCTCACTCCTCCACTGTTTGATTCTGAGCACCTGTCTGAGTGGAGTTTGCATTTTCACAGTACTGTATTCACACAGTCCAATTTTCTTCCTTGGTTAGGTGTTATGTTTGCAAACTCATGCAAAGTACTAGTTCTTAGTGTCTGATAACAGATAAATAAGATGCAATCCTTGGCACAAACCTTTAATTTGTAGCTTTTGTTGAAAGCTGTCACTGTTTCTATTCTGATTACAGGTCCTTCACAAGGCAGTGATAGAAGTGGACGAGAAGGGCACTGAAGCAGCTGGTGCAACAGCTACAGGAATAACAGGATACTCAATGCCACCAAGGCTGATAGTGGACCGTCCCTTCCTCTTCCTCATTTACCATGAGAAAACAAACAGCATACTGTTCATGGGAAGGGTGATAGACCCCACTAAAAATTAATTGCAAAGCTCTTCATAACAACTAATAAAGCTTCATTTTGAAGCATTGTTTGTTCTGCTAAACTTGTTTGTTCATTTTAGTCATTTGTCAAACTTAAATAAACATGACTTTATTTACAATCCCTTACATTTCAAGAATAATTGTGCAAAGAACGTAACAAGTAAATTCGATAAATTTGAAATAAACTCTGATTATGGAATACACGTTTTAATATTCCTTTTATAATTTCACTAACATGTTATCAGTTTTAGGTGATGTACCCTAATGTACTCCTATAAAAAAAAAAAATTGATATAATATATGAACAAATAATAAGTTTATTCCATCCTGAAGAGAGAAGAAAGAAAACACAACATTTTGGCCATGGAGCCTTCTTCAGGTGTGATATATTGATATATTATATACTGTATATATTAGAATAATTAAAATAAAAACACGAATAAACTGAAAAACGAAATATAATCATGACACATGAAACTACGACAAAAGACATTTAGGATTTAAATTATGTTGTTTCACTATAATGTTTTTTTTATTTTGAAATGTGTTTGAAAAGTATTTTTCTCTCGTGTTGCCAAAGTATAAACACTTCAATGAATCTAGTATACTGCACATGAAAAAATCTGAATTTTTTCATTTGTTGATTCTGGAAAATCAATTTTCTTATATTCTTTCATAAACACCTTTAACGATTTATTAAGAGATTTATTCCCCTTAACATGGAAGACTGTTTTATTGGCACAGGGATCAAGGCCATGAAATATAGCAACAGATCCTAGATTATACTCATGATAATGTTCTCTAATTTAAAAAAATTAAATTAATTAAAAGATCTGTGCAGACTAAGATTTTAAAATTCAGAATAACATATGTTTGTATCTCATTCCAACAGAAGCATCAATAATAAAGCCCACATGTTAAACTGTCTAAAGAGTGGCATAAATTATAAACAAGGTTCTACTATGTCACTCTATTAACTTTATTATTTTACCACGATTTAACGAAAAACGCTGACTTCTGAGTGTGGGAACACCTTAAATTTAATCAACAAGTTTAAGAAAAAAAACTTAGGTCATTAAACCACACAGTCTACAAAAATGAAATCTATTTAATTTGTCTTCATTAAAGCATAACAAATATCCAACATATATCAAAGTAATCAGTTACTGAGTTTTGTCTGAGTTTACTGAAGTGCTAAAACATCAGGCACAATTGTTTTATTTGTAGGAGTGTATCAGGGCCCATTTTGATTTAAAATAACTCAGTATTAGACTCGGCGATTAAAATATCCATAATATAAAAAGAACAAAGGAGAAAGAACAAAACAAAAATCGTGAACATTTGTAAAGCATGCTGTATTGCAAAATAATTAAAAATACATAGTGTACATGACCTTGTTCCAAGTGTCATTTTAACAAAGGGTACAAGTATTGCAAACATGAATTAATGACAACAAAATTGACTGCATATAATCCTAAAAATTGCTAAACTAAAGTGAAGAAATACTGCACTGTATGTCCAAAGCAGGAATGCACATTTGACAATGTGTATTTATTGATTGTTGACCAGTTATCTTCTGCAGAGCTGCGGCAATAATTGTCCTCTGGGCTGGCAGGGCACCTGTCACTCCCTCCCTGCTTGCATCCCAAATGAGTTCGACTTTCTTTGCCTTCCTCCAACAGAGTAAAGAGTTACAGATTAGCATTTGTACAGTCTGTACTGGGTGCTTGGCTTTATATCAGACAAAAATACAAAGCAAACGAAACTCACATGGTAATCTTCCTCGATTGGGTATCCTTGCTGCCATTGCTCCTGTGATCAACAGTGTTGATTGTGTTACTGCGAATTAATACTGGCATTGAGGAGGTGGAAGGCGAAACTGAAGTTGATGCTGCACTAAAGTGATGGGTCCTAATGACGTCATCTGAAAAAGAGCACAGGAGGAATTCTTGAAAGGTATCTATGGTCATTATAGTTATTGTACATTACTATTATTGCCCTTTTTACCCCCTCATCAATTTTTAAATCGTGGTTTGTTCATCACTTGGACTCTAAAAGAACTAAAATGCTCTTATACTGTAAGAACAGAGCAGTGGGCTAGGTACATGCATCTTCTGAAATACACATGGGTAGATATACTGTACATTGGTTTTTGGACAAATGGCTGGATCCGTTATGTGAGTTAAGAACCACACTGGATATTATTTTATAGTTATTCAATATTCGATACCATGAAGGAAGAGATGCTCACCATTAATGGGCAGTAGTGAACTCTTGCCTGTTCCAGGGCAGCTTCCTGATTCCTTTATTTTGCTGGAAGGAATGTTATGACAAGATTAGGGGAACTAATTAATTAAGGGGAGACACAAAGATAAAAAAAACATAGGCTTATGGACAGTCAGTTGCTTTGGAACCCTCATAAAGTTAACAGAAATTTAAAGAAATTAATTAAGAATAACATTAAACAAATTCTCAGATAATTTTCCTTTGGTTAACTGTAAAATGTTAATGTATGTAAATCCTTTTGGTGTAATGAAATGACAAAAAGCTAATTATTTTCAATAAACAGCAATTCTGATTTTGGAATAACAGGAAAAAGAATGTGGCAAATCGAGCTTACATATGTTTGTCTGAATTAACCATTTTAGAAGATGAAGGATGACTGCTGAGTGATCGACTTCTTGCCAATTTAGTCTTCTTTATTTCTTTACCTAGAAATGTGAACAGAGGGAAAGGTAACATTCAGCACTAAGGTTTGGAAATAATATTGATTTTAAAATTCAGCACTAAACCGAATACATCTGCCCTGAAAAAATATTTACCGCCTTTCAATCATGTCCCTTCTTGTTGATTTACAAATTATGTACACTATTTTTTAAGTGAATCATTTAAATCAAAATGTGAATGTTCAAACTAATCAGGTTACGCTAAGTGTCTGCAAAAACTGCAAAGAACAAATAAAAACAAAACATTATTGATTGCACAAATGTTTACCCCCTTTGCCATGGCAGACATAAATTAGTTCTCAGCCACAAAATTACTTTGTCAAGTCACAGTTGAATGGTCACTCGCTGTGTACAGTAATAGTGGTTCACATGATTTCAGCATAAATACACCTATCTCTGTAAGATCCTTCAGTTAGATTTTGAATTTCAAGCAAAAATTCATCCATGTAGGCCAAAGAGATTTCAAAACAACTCAGAGATAAAGATGTATAAAGGTATAGACAGGAGAGGGGTAAAAAAAACCTTTCAAATACACTGAACATCCCTTTGACTACAGTGAATTCCATTATTAGGAAAGAGAATTTACCACCCAGATACTGCCTACATTAGTTCCTCCAAACTGAGTGACTGGATAAGCAGGAAACTGATACTACCATGAGGGCACTGATGACTTTGAAAGAGAGACGAAAAACAAACCAAAACCACAAAATAAAACCTTAAATCTCTCAGAATTCTAACTAAAGTTTTTCTTTAGTCCTCTATCTCTCTATATATGGCTAGCTAAGCTGTGTATCAGCAGAATTTTTTTCCAAGACTCTTTTCAAAAGAAACGTACAATTCCCGGGCTTTTCAGTCATCCACTGGTTCACTCTGTTCTCACTTTCATACAGATGAAAGCACTTTCATCTGCTTTCTTTGCAGATAGCAGAGGACATTGGGCAAAAAAAGGCCAGAAAGGAAACCTTTCCTTTCTTTTTTAAAATAGCATCTGACCAACCTTTTCCTTCCAACTGGTCAGGAGAAGAAGTACAATGGGGCATTTCCTATTGCTCTCTGGGGAATGTGGTTCAGATAAGAACTGCCATTTTGACTGAAGTTACCACCCTGTTTCAAGTGTTTGTGGTCAAATGAAAATTGAACTATTCCCAATGCAAAGGGTTAACCAACACAGTGCACCAGCAAGTCAACAGTGGTCAAGCATAGTGGTGGCAGCATTATGTTATAGGGCTACTTCTCATCAGCAGGGACTGGGAAACTTGCCAAAGAAAGTGCATGAATCAAAGTACAGGCAACTTTAGTGGAAAAGTCTGCTTAACACCTAAAACTGGGCAAATTAACCTTCAATAGGACACTGACTCACAGGAAAAGGCCAGAGGTATACTGGAGCAGCTGGACAAGAAGAAAATGAATGTCCTTGAGTGGCCTAGTCAAAGTTCTGACTTGAATCTGATAGAAAATATGTGGCAAGTTTTGAAAATTACTGTTCATAAATGATCCCCCAAAAACAATACAGTACTTGAGCAAGTTTGCAAAGAAGTGGCAAAAATCTATTTCAGTGTTTCCACAGTGTCTCACAGGTGTAATTACTGTCAAAAGTGCTTCCACCAATTATTAACTCAAGGCAGTAAATAATTATAAAATCTTTAGGTTATTGATTTTTATTGGTAGTTTTTTGTTGACATTTACCTTTTTCACTCATTGACATTTACTTTACATTGAAGTAATAAGATTTTATTAAGGATATTAACTTTAGAAAATATATCATTTGTAATTCAACAAAAGGGATAATCTTTAGGAATAGTTGAAAACCTTTGTAAGATACTGAATATACAGTACCTCATATATACAGTATGCACACAGCACAGTAAACTGTATAAATGCATATAATACAATAGAAAGAATGCTGCCCTTACCAACTGAGGTAGTTGTATTAGATCCAGAATTCGATACTGCCATGTTTTTTGGTACAGATAATCCAGGTTTACTGTCTCTGCCTAAAGTAATATTAATAAAATCATGAGCAAATTACCAAGTATTAATAAACATAAATCAACGGTTTTATAGAACAAATCTAAATACAAAATGGGACAATTAATTCTAATAATAGCAGTTTTCAATAAACCTAGTTCAGCATTTGACTGCTGCAATTCTACATTACGGAAAATATGAGAGATTAGCCTTTTTCAAATAACGAGACAATGTCCCCAACATTAGATATTTTACTGATTAGACATAGATAAGCTGGATGGCAAAGATTTTAGATAAAGCTACTTACGCTTCTTGTCTGCATGTTTCTCAGTTGTTAACTTTCCTTCACTTTGTTGTCTTTCCAGCTGCTCCTGTTAGATTAAAATACGTCATTTAGCTGAAGTACTGTAAATTTTTCAGGAAAGCATATGAGTATTAATTTTGGTACTATTAAGAAAAAAAATTCTTCATAATATCAGTAAGAATAAAATATTAAGTTCAGCAGCCAAAATGTATTCAAAAGCTTGTTAACTGGCAAAAAACATGGATGTTTCTATCCATCAAAATCAGATGTTTCTACGTTCTGGGATATTGGTGCTTCTTCAAACAAAAACATAAAAGACTTCTAGTTTGGACAATAAAAAATCTCTTCCTTTGATCTTACCATCTCTAGCAGAAGGTTCTCTTCCTTTTCTTTTTTCTGATCAAGCAGATCCTTCTCGTGCCTCTTTTGATACTAAACACCAGAAATACTGCATGTAAAAATACATTCTGGAACATTATATCAAAGAACTGAAGAAATAAGCACTCTTACTGGTTCTGTGATGTCCATTTTGTCAAGTTCCAGCACTGTCTAAAATAAAAAAAACATGATATTAAATATTTGTTGCTCAGCTATAGACATTACATGCTTTAATACCAAAGGTGAAATATGATAGATACAATTAGCCCTACTACTGAATGTTACATAGCTAACCTTTAGAAAATGTTAACATATTTTTATAAACCAGTTTAAAATAGTTTCAGGAACACAATAAGAATAAGAGTACAATACAAAAACATTCCCCCTAACACCCAGCTTATAGTGGAGGACTAAAAGTGGAAAAAAATGTTGATACATTAATTCTATACCACTTTCTCCAGATATGAATGTTTTCATAAAATGTTATGTTTCAGGTTGCAGTTTTGAAGGATTCCTAGATATACAGTACAATTGTACTGTACCTCAGTCTTTAAAGCCACTCTTGAGCGCACTGTCAATGAGTTAGTAACTGTGTGTAACTTGAGTGATAGTTACAGTGACAATGCAGGTCAGAGCAGAACTGAACACATTGAATATCCTTCAAAACCAGTTCCTTGGAAAACAATACAATATTTGACAAAAGTGGCACAGGTTATAAAAACACTTTGAAACTGATAGGTATCATTAAGGATTTTCTGCTAGCTGTGCTCTACATGTGAGACAAGACAATTACAGGCTATTCAGATCTTCATTACATTATGGTTTAATATTAATGGCACCCAGATGACCCAGAAAGGGAAATCTGGGTTTTAGTACCACTGTCAGATTGTAGCTATCCTCCTACTAAAGGAGGCCCACACTGTGACCCAAAGGGGAGTAAGAAAAGTGATTTTTAGTGTGTATGATGGAACTTTTGGAGTGTGACAGTGCTAGTAATACAGAGTAATAGTTATAGAGATTGAAATGCAATTGAAATGCTTGAACCCTTTATTCAGTTTAATAATTACATTTAATTTAAACATGTTGAGTTTGTTTATGATCATTATTCTTTATGATCAATGACAGCAAGCTTCTGGTCTTGACCACCATATGAAGATCCATGAAGCCTACAAAGTGACTTGTCCCGGACTGCAGTGATGGATAGGCAGTATTTAAAAATACAATTTGACCTTTTACATAATTATGGCAATGGAAGATACAGTAAAAAAACTGAAGACATTTCTGTGACACTCACTTTTCTAGCTATAGCCATAATGTCCTTGTCTTTTTCCCGGCAGAGCAGTTTCCTCACGCAGAACTCTAACTGCTGCAGGAGATGTTTATCCGTAGGTAGTTTAATTGTTGACTTCAGCTTTGGCAGCATGTGGCATAACTTATACCTGAAGATGTAGACAGAGGTAGTGATATTAATGAAAATGATCCAGATTCATTGATTTAGTGATAATGTGTGGGCCAATAGAAAATAATGTCCTCACAATCTAATCTCATACATGCTGCACAAGACACACAGTGATGTTCTCTTTACAATGACACAACTTACATGTAGCAGTAACCCAGAATACAGAAACTCGTATTATATAATTACATTTCCCAATATTTTTAGTACATTTAAGATTGCACAAAGGTAAAAATGTCCTCTGAAACATGCATTATCCTACAATACAGTTTTTAATTTGAAATAAAAACATTTAAATAAATGTAACCATTAGAAAAACCTCCTGTATCAACAAGCATGTACGTGAATTTGTATGTACGTGTATGTATGTTTACAGTATATGTGTATTTCTGTGTACATATGTGTATGTATACATGCATAAATGTATATATGTGTGTAAGCATGGGTGCATATATGTTTATATGTGTGTATATATACTGTATATATGTATTTACACATTAAAAAACTACTAGTGGGTCATGGTAGGATTAATGGCTATTGTTAACACAATGACGTTAAGCCATCTTTAAAAATAGGTTGATCCTAACCTGTCACGTGTATTTATGAGATGTTATAAAGTGAAAAAGAAATGTGCAGTCACAGTCTATATATAAAGACAAAGATAGTTTAACTTTTTATGTGAAGGGTAACCAAGTGTATATACTGTATACTGATATTATTTTCCTGTAAATAGTTTAGTTTAATTTGTTAACTCTTTTAGACTTAGTAAGGCAGTACTAGTTCATTACTAAATTCATTAATTAAAGCATAGCATGAACAGAGACAATTATCCGTGAAAAGACCTTCATTAATATTCATATTAAAAATGTTAAAATTTGCAAAATCTTTGTTTTGATATGTCCTTCTTACAAGAGCAGTATAAACCACTGCTTTCTGTATAGGATGTTAAAAAAACAAGTGTAATTCTTACCTGACATTTGCTACAGGATCATTCACCAGTTCCAGTGCAGGAACAAGGAAGTATTTACAGAAGTAAGACTTGGAAAAGAGCTCCATTGCAATTTCACACAGGTCGAGATATCGTAGTCTATTCCAGTAACTTCTTCCTTGACCCAGTTCTTGAAAAAAAGTAGTGTCAAGCTTTAACAGACTGATTTAACACCTTTCTAAGACACAGGACTTACGTAAAACCATATCTAGAGAAAATATGTCACTTGACGAGACAAAAAAACTGGTTGATAATATTGAACAATAATATTTTTACATACTGTATGTACTGTAAAAAAGTATACATAATGGAATAATTTTATGTTATTACAGTACTGTCCTCTTATTTTACACATATATACTTTTAATATTACTTAACCTCCTTAAATGTCCAGCTACTAAAGATTCCCTGCTCACATACAATTGTGCAGATACAGCATACAGTATATAGACATAAAAATAAGTTAATAGATGTACTGTACCAAGAAAAGCACCTTGCCACAGCTTAAAGTTAGTGCCTAATTAAAAGGAGCTCTAGGGATATTATTGTCTGTATTAGGTTAATTTGGATTAAACTCATTTGGATTAGACCCTATGTTTAAGGGGCAACATTTTTTTATTGTTCTGGGCTTTTGAATTACTGTATGTTTACTGTATATGGGGGTATAGGAGTGTTTTCTGTTCATCTGGTTTCAACAACTGCAAGGTCCAATATATGATCATGATGCGATGGAACATAAACCATCACACAATCGGTGTAACACGGGGTACACTGTGGACAGGTGTAATACGAGTTAAAATAACAATGAACTTAAAGGCAACAAGAAGGATACTCACGGTCAACCAGCTTATTAATTATCTCTTGTCTCTGCTCCTGTTTGCGGTTATAGCGGAGGAAAACACACAATGTTCTGGCAGACTCTCGTTGTACAGGAAGGACATTCTAAACAACAGCAGGAGATCCAACAATTAGAAGAATGCCATTTCCAGAGTTATAACCATTAATTATTTTCTCCAACATGATCAGAAATCACACAGATGGCTCATTTACATAAAAAGCTTCTAATACAGGATAAACGTGCACAGCCCTACTTAGCTTTATTTAACAATTCATAATTGTGTGAGTAGACTCATTCACTGAATTGAAGAATATCTATAGTAATGCCTTTTACTTGACTGAAGCCAGAATTGAGGGCCTAGTGTCTACATATGACATTTCAGCCAGTAACCACACATTGAAAACAACAAAGTGAAAACAAATGCAATAGTTTTTTACACATTTTATAATGTTTTCATGAATTTGTCATTTGAAATGTCCCTTTATCTTTTAACAAAAAAAAACATTCCAATTTAAAAAAAAATCCCCAGAGTAGAACAAAACAAGGCTTACATTGGTTGTAATTATTGTAAACATCCTTTGTAAGAACCTGAAGTAGATCTGGTCTCCTGATATGACGCGAGGCAGGCAGGAATACTTCTGCAGGACTTTCTCGTGGATTCTCCACTTCAGAGACGTGGCTGCTTTCTGCTCTGCTGCAGCTAGTGCAGGGACCAGGTCTGGAATACTGACCTACAGAGCAAAATTAATTTAATTAACCCACCAGATATACAGAATGTACTGTAGATTTATTTTATTTTAGGCCAACTGAATTTCATTAAGCTTTACAGGTACTCAAATGTAGTCCGTACTTACCATTCAAAATAAAAAAAAAAATGTATCTTCTCAAAACTTGAAATTCTCCCAAATCATATACCAGATTGAAAAACATAAAGTAAAATTCTATTCTTTTATTTTATTTGTTTGTTGTGAAAAACACTAAATCTCTAAAATAACCCATACATTTCAACATTTGGAGCACTGTAATTTACTCTTTGTATTTTGAATATTATAACAATAGTCATATACAGTAAATTAATAATCTATTCTGACAGTATGTCAGAAACTGGGGCGGAGTGGTGGCTCTGTGGCTAAGGATCTGTGCCTCTAGCTCGAAGGTTGCTGGGTCAAATCCCGTCGCTGGCAGAGGAATCCTACTCTGTTGGGCTCCTGAGCAAGGCGCTTAACCCCAACTGCTCCAGGGGTGCTGTACAATGGCAGACCCTGTGCTCTGACCCCAGGATCTCTCCCTGTCTGTGTGTCTCATAGAGAGCAAGCTGGGGTATGTGAAAAGATCATTCCTAATGCAAGAAATTGTAAAGGGTTAATAAAGTGATGTTATTATTAAACTGTCCATTCTCCTGGAAACTTTGGTTTCTTCAGCACAACAAATCAAAACTGTACTACTAACATGGGTCATGTAACAAATGTGAACACCACTAAACATAAACAAGAATGAGTCTTAAAATTTTTAACTTAACCAGTAATAGTGCTGAATGTTGTAGTTGTTGGCGAAGTTGTGCCATTGAATAGACTTTTGTAGAATGCACCTGTTTGCAAACTACTTTGCTGAACAGTATACAAATACTGGATGTGCTCTAGCCTTATTATAATATACTTATACGTGAAAGTATACGCTTCAAGTCTACATGAAAATTAAAACAGGTGAAAGACAGATTTATTATAATATTCTTTCCTTACATTTAAAGGTGGGATCACTCATTAAATATTGAGAGAAAAAGGGTTTGCGGTGAAGTTTACAAAAGACAGCCATTGTTTATTCAACTTACATTGAGAATGATGAAATTAGTGATTGGCTCAAGGCAAAAACCAATTAGTAGCAGGTGGTTCAGGCTATAATACACAATCACCAGTAGGGGGAAGAGTGATTTAATATTATAATAAAATGTAACCTTATTTTCAGATGCAGATCCTTCTCCTCTTGATGTAGCAAGCTCCAGAGTTTCTTGGAGATTGTTCATTAGTGCATCTAATACCTAAAAATAATAAGACAATTATTCATAACCTTTATTAGTTTTACCGATAATCCACAACATAATACTGCTTTTCTGAAAGGTAATAAGGTAAAACGCATAGCATAGAATAATTCTGGGACCGAATTCAGATTTCTTTTGTTTTTTAATACCCAGTCCTTTGAAATTGACAAATAAAGCAGTATTTTGCCATTCATGAATTTATCCTACACAGTGATTCACACCCATAATTTTTGGAGAGATACAACTTGGTTCCCCCACTCAATTCCACATTCTAAAAAGTCTGATTTGGTTACATTTTAATTATTTGACACCAGTTGCAAATGTATCACATCTACTGTAAAGCCTTTGGAGATTCACAAGTTACCTAATATTAGAAGAGCTATCACAGTTTGCAAAGAAAGTACATTTCACTTCAAGCATTCAACACAGTATGAAAGTTAAAATATGAATGTCACTTAATAGTTACATATAAATGTAAGGTCTGAACGACTACTTTTGGTAACTACAAAATTACAACAAAATGTAGAAAGTTAAGAAAACTAACATAAATAGCTACTAATAAAACATTGTAGTTAATTAATCCAAATATCAAATCCATCCATTTTTTATTGCCTTTATCCCTTTGCTCCTCAACAACGCTTTGGTCAAAAAAGTGCCTCCTGTTCTTGGGTTGCTGTTCTCTGGACTAATAACAGCAATATCGTTTTTATTATGTGTCAATGAAAACAGTATAATATTCTAAATGAGTTATTACTAGTTCATTGTACAATTTTAACAAAATAATTTAGATTTTATGTACCTAACCATAGGAAACCAATCTCTAGAGCTATTAAGTCATGAAAGACTGTCATATCTTATAAAAGATTTTATTGAAACATGTTTGTAGGCCTCTGGAGAAAAAGAGAAGTTCCAGAAATGTCTAATATCACAAAATAATTACAGGCACAAAAGTTAACATTCATATTTTATTTTACAATACAGTTAGTACATTAACTTATTTGATATATTGTACATCTTACCTCTAATGAGTCATCTTGTAATAGTGCTATCAGCTCCTTGTGTATATAATGTACATTGGGACCTAACAATTTAACAACCTAAAAAAGAATCATATACATTGTTAGTGTAATGTATATAGAAATAAAACCCTATTCTAACAATATAAATCCAATACACACATAGTATTTTAAAAGAATTCCCAATCCAGTATATTATTCTTAATTATATATTTTGATCTTTTCTTGCAATATTTTTTTAGCCAACTGAACATCCATGTCTAAAGTTGATGTTTGTTCATTTATAGCACCCAGATTGCAGAATGATAAGTGTGGGTTATCTGTTGCAGAAGTCCTGTTTCACCCTTGTATAATAGTTATACATTTTATTCTTACTGTATTTCTGAAGACTTTTTGTCTCTGCACAATAAACAAAAATCAAACATACCTGTATACATTTGAAATTCCACATTTCATTTGTCTAAATTATATTACAGAAAGTTGAAAACCATTTTTTTCTGCCTGAATCATAACTAGCACAAAGAAAACATGGCATGGCTATTTCTACTATATACTTACTTCATGGAAGCCACTAGCTGATGTATGCCTGACAGAAATTTCAGGATCATGACATAAGCTTGAAAAAGTAGGATATAGCTCTGAAGGGAAGGTTTTTGGGTCCGCAAATAATACCATGGCCTGCAAAGATCAGGGGAAAAAAAGAATTGTAAAAGATTGTAGAGATTAGCCTTAACTTTAATCTCCTTTTTTCTTTTTTACTTGTCAGCAGTTAAGATGGGAGGACTCACACATGAAAAATAATACTTATATCACAATCTACACACAATTCATCAGCACAATTCAGCAGTCCTATAGACTAGGACAGAGGGCCACTTCTCACAAGTGATACTCTTAGAGTGGTCATCACCACGAACATACAATAGGAACAGTACAAAACAGTTTTTAAGACCACAAATATAGCTGTATACGAGACATGTATTGAAGACTGTTCAGCCAGATATCATGAGCCTACATTTTGAATAAACAGTCAACCATTTATTGTGTGCATGTGCACCATTCAAGAACCTTAAATGACCGATACAAACAAAAAGATTTAGACTGGCTGTGTCACTGACAGTCACTGGAGTTTTATCCATCAGACTCCCAGGCACAAACGAGCCAGAAAGTGAAAAGCTTTTGAAAACGCTCTTCCTAGAGCCTGTTGGAAAGATTTCATGAACAAAACAAAGCAATTTCACACTGCTGTTATGGAAGATATGTTTGCAAAGGTTAATAAAGATCAATATGCATTTATTAGCTTAACACAATTCTATAGTCTTTGGTGATAAATGTGTTGTAAATGTAGGGGGTACAGAGTGCAGGAGGACAAACAAGCATAGTAACAATCCCATGATAGGGAAAGCATGGTAACCTGGACTATCACAATATTCTTCCTTTTCAGGTCACTCATGTCTTAATCTTATAATAAAACTCTTGTAAACTAACAATAAAGAAAAGGGGGTATTTCTGTCTTTCACACATTGATTAAAAAAGATTAACAGCCCTATTATAAATGAAAGGATACAGTTTTCTTCACCTTCTATGTCAAAAGAACAATGCAGTTTATATTTCAATCAGGAATAGAAATATTCTGTTCCATGATACACTTTTATAACATTTTTTTTCTTTTAAACACACATGTGCTACAGTTATTGCTGTTTTGTCAGTTTTTTTTGTAGTGGCAGATCTCTTCTCTATTAACCAGTATTCACTGCCCTTTTACAGCTACAATACATTAGTATCCTTTGGTATGGGATGGTCTGGGATATTTAAACTTCCACATACTGTATGTAATCACATTCCTGAACTAGGCAAATTTGAAGCACTAAAAGCCAATCTATCAGGGGCATCTAGTGGCCTTTCTATTTTCTGCCTGTCCATTCACTACATCCTGATTAATGAGATCTCAAGACACACAAATGAATCCTTTAAGACATGACTGTTCAGGCCAGCTGCTCTTTCTCATCTTGCACTTCTGATGTACAAACAGTGCCACTTATATGTCAATAAAACAGACAAAGCGTGTACTTATACCGCTCAGGCCTGCTGGAACTAACAGCACATTGAAGATATGATAGCAGTGAAATGTTCTGCAGGTCCAGACTTGCACTATTTGCCCATAAAGGCATATCGACACACACTAGTAAAACACTTAAACAAATGAATTAACCAGCTCTTTAAGAGGCAAATTATTATTGTTGTTATCATTATTATTTTCTTAGACACACTTATCCATCATGTGTTATAATACATTCATGAATTTCACAGTAACAATCATGGGCATATAACAAGCTTGCATTGAAAAATAAGAGCAGCACAAGCTATAACAGAACTGTGCCAATCAAAAATTGCATATTATACAGATAGTGTGGAAACAAAACAGCAACTAAAGCAGCTTAATGGCACACCGTCCATTTATACAATGAACAGTAGCCACAAAAAACTACACTCCCAGCTCAAGAGCCACAGACAAACTAAAGAATGCAACTGAGAAAGCTCAGGTGGTACATAAAAATGTGTCAGAAAGGGTAAGAAAGGTGTAAAGGACTAGACATGTTACTATTTTTGTTCAGCTTTGTACAAAATTATTTAAATAACAATCACTATACAAGACAAAAGACATGCACAATAACAAATCATGATTCTTTAAAAGATTGTTCACTCTCTACAACTAACTGTCAGATAAGTCTCTACCCTTTCTTTGTTCAATGTAAGATTTGTTTTTTTTCTTTCCCTTTTAATTAATAATTTAATGTTTCATCTTATTATAGTTTGATGTTTTTGTAAATCATTTTTTATATGTATAACTCTCATGGCAATGTTTAGTTTCTGGCAAATTCTATAACCTTATAAAACATTAGAAAAGTAAGGCGTACTCACTGGGAAGTTATAGGCACAGTTTTTTCGTACTGTCTCATATTTCTTCTCCAGTTCTAGTGGGTAGCCCTGGCTCTCACAGTGACCATTTTCATGATGAAGGCCCAATACACACAGTTTCTTGTAAAATTCTAGAAACCATAAATGCTGCTCTTCAGTGAAATTCCCTTCAAGTGAAAAAAAAGGACTGAAATAGTAAAAGAACCCACAAGTACAAACTGTAGACATGAAACTGTAGACTTTAAATAATGCTAAACTAATCCATAATACACAAAGGGCATTTTAACAGAAGCTCAAAGAAGGTGGCTGGCAATTTTTTTCTCCATTATCTTCCTTACTATTGGGTCAAATAAAAATGCTGTTAAATCCATTTCTTACCCCCCCAAAAAAAAAAACAAACAAACAAACAAACACAACAATCAGTGGGTTAGCTGTGACCATGAACACATTAGTGTTGCAAATTTACTGAAAATTCATAAAGTCATAGTGTAAATTGAAAATATGGGATAGAAACATTTGCACTTCCCTCTTAACTATACTGCTTAATCACTTAAATCAAGAAAGAATAAATTCCAACCTGAGAGGCCATGGCAGAGTTTTCCATATTGAAACGACAAAGAAGTCAAAACAGCTTCATCAGCTTTGAAACATTTTTCACAAAATGTTTTCACTAATGGAAATATAACACGGGTCTTGTCATCTGAAAGAGAATTAAATAAATTTAACAAGAACTGCCTTTACATAGCACTAAATTAGGAAGTGCTAATCTTTAGTGTTTGTATTTTTTTATTACTAGGCAGTTTATGAGGTATGCAAATGTAATACAGTACATCATTTCAGGTTCTAATTGCTGGACAATCTGAGTGTTGAAATAATGACAACCTTATACTTACTTGCCCTGAAAAAAAATGTAATGTAATACATTTAACAGCATTGTATTTTTTTTCTTTAGATGTATAAATAATTTATGTACCAGATCGTATCTGGTTTAGAAATAGTTTTGGCTACAATCCTACACAAATTATTAAACAAAAACAGATATTTTAAAGTTATTGACAGATGTTTAAAGATAATTTTATTGTACCAATACTTATCTGGTTAGTATGTGACTACCACTTTAATTGGTACGTGGCACTTCTGTAACTTTTAACATTTCCTTGATGTTACGATTTTTAAATTGTACAGTTGCCTTAATAATATAGAAATATACAGTACTATGAAGATCAATAAAGTGCAGAAGCAACAGAAGAATTCTGGTCGACTCATCTGTGAGGATTTCATATTCACTAACAAAAATGTCCTAAACCCATTGCAGGAACAAAGAAATATTGCTGTTATTAACTAGGTTTTTCAATTGCCAGCCTTGAATCTATTTCAGATGTTATGGACAGATCCACAGAACACATACTGTACTGTATGTGTTCTGAAAAGCTGATTAGAAAATACCAATGACAAGAAATAGATGCAAAAAATGTTATAACTATGTTTGTGAAACATTATTCTACTTAATTAAAATGTACCTAGTTTCTGGAATATACATAGTCAAAATGTATAACAAACAGATTAACAGCAGATTCATAGAATTAAGTTTTTCCCATTCCCATTGTGTAATACGGTAAGATTATGCACACAGTGTGTATATATGGGGGGGTTGGCACATTTTATTGTATTCTGTGGCATAATGGGAAGAATCTTCAGTTCTTGAGGTTGTATATCACCTGTAAATGTACAGCAACAGGAGAGTACAGGTAAGGTGAAATTGCATTGCATAGAGTGGTTAATAAAGTAAAACAATAACCATGTTGTGCTATGTAACAGAATCAGGAAATGGGAGATTGCTTACAAATCAGACAATATTAGACCTTCAATTAGCGTAAGGTTGTTGTTTTTTTTCCACGTGTCTTTTAGATCAACCAATAACAGTACAGATTCTACTTTGCTGTTTGTCCTATGTTGTATTCATGATGACTGTTGCTGTTGATATTGCTTATGACCAAACATGACCAAAATATTGACAAATGACATAATTTGTGTAACATACTGTGTAACACACAAGGTTTTCAATTAACACATACATTTCAAACACAGAGCTGGTAATGTATTATGTTTTTATGTTCGTTCTTGACTTTCTCAATGAGGTTCAACAGCTATATAATGACACTCCAACACTCACCACTTTCGAACATTTCCAGCAGATTGACAATTGTTTCAAATGCAGCCAGTCGTACAGTGCTTTCCTCATCTCGAGCCAACTCGACTAACTCAGGCAAGACCACTGCCTTAGTGTGGTCGGCCCTACAGGGACAAAATGAGTACCATATATGTTCATATCCTTACACTGTGAAAGCCACTTCAGGAAATGTAGAATATTTTTTCAAAAGAACTCACAAATACTGTATAGCAACACATATCTAACACATATCTATCCTACTGTAAGGGTGTGAATAATCTATTAAAATATCAAAGTAAAGCTGGAAATAAAACTTCCAGTGCACAGCTGCTTAAGTCACTCATTCTATTTCTCATTTTGTCTTTGAAAGCAGATCAACCCTAATGTTACCAATATTCCAAACCCAACCTTGGTCCATAAACCGATGACCTTCCCATTTCCCCTTAAGTCTGAAACCTATTCTACTAGCTAATCCTTTATGTCCAGGGATGGTTTTCAAACATTATCAGATTATCCTTTTATTATCAATGCTGTCTCCCCAAGAGACTAAACCTTTTCCACTAAAAACATAGTCTCAGTACAATACTTAATTTTTCTGTTTTAAATACAATAATATATTTATTTATAATAAAATATTTAGTAATCTATAAGTTTTATAGTGGAATCACATTCCAGACAGCTGGAGTTGATTCCTCTGATAACTTCCTGCAAATGTACAAATATATTTAGGTCTCCCTCAGTCTCTGAGGTATCCCTAAGTCTCCCTTTAGTGTCATGCTCATGAAACCACTGTGATCTGTGGATAGAAGGAATTGTCATTCTGGAAGACACCAATCCTGGCAGTAAAGAAATGCGGTGAAGATTATTACTTTGTACCATTTAGTAGCAAATAGTATTGATCCTGTCTTCTGAAGGAAAGGGTGTACACAAACTCAAGCCAGGAAAATGCAACCCACAATATTAGGGAACCACCAGAACCTTTCACTGTTAGAATCAACTCACACGGCTGTAGAGTTACTTAGGATGGTGCCACATGTGCACAAGTCTGTAAAAAACATGGTGAAGGATGATTCTCTTATTTTAATACTTCTACACAGCTCATTGGTCCATTTATATTTTGTGCTCTTTGCATCACTGGATTGACAACAATGCATTGCCTGGTGTGATGAGTGGTTTGCATACTGCAATCCTTCCTCCCCAGATCGAAATACGCAGTCAATTAATCTTCAGATGGTCATTTGTTTTGCCGTGCACTTCCAAATTAATGCACAGATATCATGACTATGCGCTTCTGGCCACTGTTGGCTTTTGCTGATGATGCCTTTCCCTTTTGTTCCACGCTGACATTGCTTCTTTGTTTGTGAAATATCAGCAAGGTGAGCTGACTTTGTCATGGAAGCTCCTGTCAGATTGTGCCCTAGTAATCACCCACCTTTCAAAACCACTGAAGTTTCATTTTGTAGTCATGCTAGCCATATATATACAGTACTATAGGGAACCAGGCCAGTCCAGCATTTTTATACAGTATGTGACATTTAGCATGCTGGAATGTTATTTGTTTAAATAATGCATGTGCCACACCTGTGTGGAAGCCCTTGTGTTCAATTTACTTGGTGTTCCTCATTTACCTAGGTGTTTCCATTTTTTGTACTTTACCTGTATCTCTAAGTCAAAGCATGTGAACTAATCATTACTTAATATGTGAACTGTGCACAGCTCTAAATAAAAATGAATTAAATAAATTGGTTGGCATGTGTATAGTAAGCATTCAGGAATGCTAGTCCATTAACTACTGTATGTACATTATAAGTACTATATGTTTGATGTTATACAAAAATGTCCCTAGTACTGCCATGTACTATTATTAATTGATAAGAGTAGCTGTTGTGCAAAACACACACCCAGTTACCTTTTGTGGCCTTCAAATAGCAAATGGATAATAAATTATTATTAACACTTTGTTACCAGATAATTTGTAAATTGTAAACAAATTTCATATTGACAGCTACTGAACAATGTGCTTTTTTCCTTGAAGTAGCAGGCATTATAACATGCTATCATACTTGACCTATAGAAATAGCAAATGCACTTTGAAATGACTGTGACTGAATAGCAAAGAAATATGTTATATTTCACATTTTAATTATTTTATTTGTACCATTTATTAAACACTATATAACCATATACAGCAGACTAGACTTAATTTATCTAAATCCATAAATTATTGGGTAACCAACTACATTGATTATTTACATGCTGTGTTCCCTAATGGGGCTATAGGTGAGATTACAGAACTCAGAAGTCTGTCTAATGTGACTTTATCCACATCCAAGTCTTTAGCTCAATATATTTATACATATTTGATCTATATTCAAATAGCCACAGTTTTTTTTATAACATTTATGGGCTATTGTGTTACATTTATTTAGCATTTCAATGTTAGAAAAAGTAATAGGTTTCCCGAAGGCAAACAAGAAGACTTACAAAGAGACTTCGACCTGATAGGATCAAACAATTACCCTATTCCTCTGGCTATGTTCTCCAGCTGTCGACACATACAGGACCGTACTTCATACTCCACATCTTGACATAGAGACCTTACTAGAGGCAGTAGGTCTTTTTTAACTCTGAAAGAAATGATAAATATGAATACATTTGAAGTCCTGTGCACTTTAAAATGCATCAGCAGAGATGCTGTGATTGTACTTTAAAAGGTACAACACATAAAACTATATACAAGCCTTTGAGATAATAAAAATTAAAATTCAGTAAAAGCACATACATTTACCAGACTGTACAGTGTACATTATAACATGACATTTTAATACAGACTCCTTTTGTAATTTCAGAGTGGTACAAACTAAAAATACAACAGAAATAAATACACTTTGATCAGCTTGAGTTTATAGTAAAGACAATTTGCCCTCTGTGACTTACATTTGTGATTCAAACTTCCCTGCTACTTTTCCAAGAATGCGGCAGCTGGCCAAGCGGGATTGCAGTGTTTGGGAGAGTTGTGCTTTGGATACCAGAGGGTGTAGTATCTATAGAAAATAACAATCAATGCAGTTAAGAATAGTCTCACTGATGATGAGTCAACCATGTCTACAAAAGCATTTTATCTTCAAAACACATTGCATGAAAATAGAGAGTAGGCATCAATCGCATATTTTCCAGTGAGCAAGTTCAGTGGTCTGTGAGCCTTAGATTCAACAGGGTTTAAGGCAAGCACGGCATCCATGGCATAATTCCCACCTTCTCATTTCACAAGAAAGCCAATGCTACACAAGCAGTATAAGTGTGTTACTCTGCTGGAATACTGCCACATCTGGAGGAGCCCACATCAGTGAGGTCCCAGGACTTGATCTATGCAATGTGATGAATGGCAGGGTGAAATCACTATAAATGGACTTTGAACCTCCCTATCAATACAGAACAATTAATGTATCATTCTGTACAGTTGCACCACACTCACTGATGTCGAACAGGGTGGTCATAAAAGCTTGACTTGGCTCCACTGCTGGCAAATCCAACTGATGTGATTTAGATCAGCCTCTGGCATACCAATGGCACAAAGGTATCTGTTCACTTGAAAGGAGGGGTATATTGGTTCCTTTCTAACTTTTCTAGATTTTCATTGAGCTTAACATTCGACAGGTTAAATCCCCTTATCACATTCTCTTTGAATGAGGTGTATTATTGCTTATGTAACAGTCAAATACTGCACTTTATTTTTCTAAAAACTAATGTGAATAGATGTTTCCTTTGATGTTTTGTATACTGTACTTGATTCAAATTAAAAACTATTCATGTTGAAATACAAAGGATTGAATCTTAGTCTAAAATGTTAGACTAATGTATTATTGTGACATGAGAATTTATAGTCAATGTTACACAGTGGTTATACACTGATAATTGTATAGGTTAGATAGGTTAGAAAAGGATTTTGATTTTTGACAATGTGGAAGAGAAATAGTTAACAAGAAAGGCATACAAACTTTAAACTTGCCATTTATATATTTTAATCTTGTAAATACAATTAATCACTTACTTCTTGCCTTATGGTTTCCTTTGGTAAAACATCAATTGCAGATAATAGTGTTTCTAGCCAAGCATTACAGACCACTGCTAAGAACAAAAACAAAGCCACTTAAAATATTCACATCACAGCTTTCTTAAGTCACAATCTACTGTAGAAGGAATATTCTTAATCATATACACACATTATAGTTTATTTAATTATTAGTTTTCATTCCAGATCTTACTACATTGTAAAAATGAGTAATTAATTTGACACCAAAGCTTCATGAAAAGCATCCTAAATCACAAACAAAATAGACTATAAGGGGTTTCTTAATTTCAGTTCCAAGAATTGTACAGTAGTTTTCATTCTACTACAAGTAGTCATTTAAGCATTCAACCTATTCTTAGTCATATTTTGTTTTTTCCTGCTGATTATACAAAACATTCACTTTTTTACAGGTAGTTACCTATAGTATAAAACAGTTGCAATGATGCAGTTAATTAGACCAACTACAGTACATAACTGAAAGGTCTTGGTTCAAAAAAGACACTGGATTGTCCAGGAATTGAGTTGTAGACTGTTTGAGACCACTTGAGTAAAGGTTGCAAGCAAGTCTTATTTTAAATTAGTCTAAAATCACTAACAGGAGATGCTATTTTCAGTAGAGCATGCAGTTTTTCAACAAAATACTAGCCCACTGGTGACTCACGGTGAATCAAACAGCCTTAGTTCTTTTATTTTATTTATTTTTTTGACAATAGTAATGCATATTTAGGTGTATGTTGTTCTCAATTTTGAATCCCAGCCACATTCCGAGTAGTGACATGACTTGAAGAATTTCTCTTACCAAGAAGAGAACCAATAACAGATCGAGCTATCACAACAGACTCATCACACATGAGTCACCAACACTTCTCCCTGTACAAAACTGACCTGCATCCCTGTGATCTAGGTTTAGTAGAATGATTTGCAAAATCGAGTGGGTGTGAGTTTGGATCAATATGAGATCATCTTGCAGGATGGTTAGGAAAGAGCCAGCAGCTGCTAACTGCATCTCCACCCCTGCAACGTGTAGGACTTCCTATGGGTGAGGGCACAAAAAGTCAGTCAGAGAAAAAACTTCAAAATGTTGACACCAGTGAGAAAATGAAAGTTACAGTGCTAATCAATCTTTATGTTTATGAATGCCCATCAGATGCAATGTAAAAATAATATCTGTCTTATTGATTTTAATGAAACATTTTAGAAATCTCTCAGAAGAAGAATTATTCTATGTACTGATCAAACCATGTAACTGAATTATTGGAACATAACTAGTTAATGTATATAATATGCCCACCTTTGTTCACCTTTGATAAATTATTACCATCTTGACTTAGGAGATACTCCAGTAATAGGTGGTATACAATGCATTAAGAACAAGCATTCAGACCCAAACCCATAATTTTTCAATTTTGTTGCTGTCTGAGTTTGCTGTTACCGTATATTAATAATAAACACTATATACTCCAAACTGCTAAAGTTAAAAATGCTGATCTTACATTAAATAATTTTAAATATTCTCAGTTGCCTAAGTATACAACCCCTTAGCTATGAGAACCCTAAATCTGGTGTGAAGTAATATTTTGAAAGGCCACAAAATTAGTTTAATTGTTTCTGCCTGTGAGACAAACCTACAGAATACTGTAACTTGACACAGTAAATGCATTTGTCTGCATAAGTTCTCTCAGACAGATAATGAATTTGAAGGCACTACTTTCATAGAAATACAACAAATCAAACAGAACGAAAAAGAATATTTCAAAAACAAACCAGGGATGAAGTGGTAGAAAAATATAGATCAGGAGAAGGTTACTCTTAAGATTTTAAGAAAAAATAAGAAAACAAACATCAAAAATTGGGTTCAAAATTCACACTTCAGAAGGACAATGATCTGAAACACAAGGCCAAAGACACACTGAAATGTGAAATGAAATGAAAAAATAAATGAATGAATATCCCTTGAACCCAACTGAATACTTATGGTGAGTCTTGACAATTGCAGTCCATTAACTATCCGCAATGAAATTCCCATAACTATAACAATTATGCAATGAAGAACAGACAACAAAACACCATCCAACTGTACAAAGCTCAGAACAACTGATTTGGCTGAGCTGATCCGTGCCAAAGAATTGCTGCTTTCAGTAAGTACTGACTTAGGGGGCTGAATACTTATGCAATGAGAAATTTCTTTGTGTTCTGTTTCATGATTACAATTTTGAATAAAGAGGTTAACTTGAAATTCAAGTAAATGCTCGTAATTAATATAAAAAATGTGAATACCTCATCTAGGCACTGCATGCACAGTACATCATACCACTAATAAATTCATTGGCTCACTATTTTTTATGAAGGCTGCTTTTTATAAAAACATGGTATAAAAAACAATTTAAGTAATATATTCTAACTCATTTGATGATATTTTCTGTTTTTGTATTTCAGTATAATGGACATTTGGTGAATGACCTAGAGAATTAATTTAGTCTGGCTTACTCTGACTTTTGGCACTACCCTCCGAAATGTCTCTGCTGGATTCTGTCGAACCAGGCTTGGCAGACTGATGACAACACTTGCTCGCTGTACATCCTGACCTGAGCTGGAAATGAAATCAGAGTGAAAATGTTTAAGTCCTGTAGAGAGATTCATCTGCAAAAGGTTTCTCTTTAGGATTCTGAAAAAATTTAATAGCAGGCAAAATGGCAGACATGCATCACTGCTGTGCTCAACACATGAGGCTGTTAATTATTAATATGCCCTGAAAAATGTAAGATAAAACCACTTTTTACTGATTACTTAGCATCTCGGACAACAGACATTTAACAAAAGCTACATAAAAACTGATCCATTTGATGAACATAAAGGAATCACAGAGAGGCCACTATCTATACAATCTGGGGATGAATGATGTCTTCCCCTTTCTGTTTTCTTTTTCCAAATTATTTAACTTCTGTTTTCATACAGATACAGCCCTTGTATTCTGTATAGGTATTTAATCGTATCACTAATCTCCATATGAACTGATATTTGCCTTAGTGTTTTGCAACATCTTCACTTAATATCTTGATTCCTTTAATTTGTACTGGAAGGCTTTGGAATACTGGAACAAAACCTAAAATCAAATAAGAGGCAATCACATAATGTTATTGAAAACAAGAATAATAATTGCAACAAATTCACATAAATATGAAAACAAACATTTGCTTTTGGCTGAAAATGGAAATCTGACATTCAGTGAATTAGTGTTAACAATTTTACGCGACCATTCTGCACTACATTTGACACTGCAACCATGAAATGTCTCTATGCCCTATTTTGTGGCTCTTTATTCGTCTATGGAACCTGACAGAAATAGCATGCGAAATTAAAGTGCCTTGAAAATGTGCTCTAGTTGTACTCTGAAGAAGACAGAGGTCATGCCGATCTCTTTTAATTTGCTTTCTTCATCTCCTCAAGGATTTGTCAGTGAAATTAACTGAAATTAAATGCACCAGCTAATGGTACCAAACTCAACAATGTGAACTGTGACATTTCAAGACTGTCAGGAACTTAAGCAAGAAAAGTCTCAGCGACATCAAGTTGCTATTATTTGATGGCAAAGCATGTTTAGCACTTATTTAATCTGCACTCCCAGGGGTTAGGGAGGGAAAATCACCAGGGAACTGCTTTATCTCATCACAGTTGAGTGACTCCTCAAAACAGGCCATGTGGAAATTCATTTGAAACAAGCAGACACATGAATGAGTGATTCAGGAGTCCTGATAAAATATGATAAAACACTATCTTCATTTCTGAATGTATGGATCTTTGGCTGTGCATTAGTTAACCCAATTTGGAACATTTGTGCTTTATTTAGTGTATTAGAAGCTTAGAATGTATTTACATACTTTCAGCAGAATTAATTCATAGTGAATGCTGTGATCGAATAACATTTTATAAAAATGCTGTCATAAAAATATGTTCATTTACCAAAATAAAAAAAAACATGAAATTTCACTTAAACAGAAGTATTAGTAGAATCATTTTTTAGGGGCTGCTGTTGATCGGAGACACTTTTGATTTAATTCAATCTCCCATAAAATGCTGTTTACCTAAAAAAAACTGCTACTTTTACAAATGCTAATTAATTTTCATGGATAATTATTTTCCCTACTAAAGTCATAGTAGCTGACTGAAGTTCTTTAATAAATAAGAAAAAAGCTGTGTAATATCCAAGTCAACATGATTTCTAAAGGAATTGTGATAATGGCTCTTGCTTTCCTTAATCCTAATCCTCACAAAAGATGGATCTTGTTATACACATTAACTCTACTAAGTGACACTTGACATTCATTTTTCGGTTTCGGGTGTGATCTTTTTCAAATTTGTTTCTAAAACACAATTGCAATAATGAGTACATTAAAGAGGCATGGAGCTTTCGGCCATGTGGCACTGAAGGCCATACTCACACATTTTTACAATTTGCAGAAATCAGGTTGTATTGATCCTTGTGTAGGTTTGTAGGGTTATATACAAAAAATACTATCTTGTATCTGAAAAGAGTTCTGGCTCTTTAATGTTTGAAAGAAAAACTCCATTAAGCTGAACCAGATGGAATGCAGGGTGAAGAATGCCTAAACCTAAATCAATTAAGCACTAATGCTGAGAGATGTGGTAACTTTACCCCACTCCATGAAAAGTATATCTCAATCTTCTAAGGGAATATCTGGATCCACTGTCACCTGGAAGACTTTCAGGAAGTAAAAAGAGCTGGCATGACTTTGTAATTAGGTTGAACTGTTGACTGAAAAATGCAATAAGACTGGTTACACAAAATAATCGTTTTGACATTTTGATAACCTTTATATTAGAATAAATTTATATTGAAAGATTTAAATGCAGCATAAAACTGATTTTCAATAGCAGGCTGGATTTTGTAATTGAACAGATGATACAACCTGTGCTGTCACTGTGCTGTCAACTATCCGAAACAAATTATACACAATGTGCTGTATTTTCTTAAGCACAAAGAAAAGTTGACTTCTGGCAGGATGATCTGTTCTGTTGTAGTTGTCTGCTGACAGCACCCTAGTCTATAATGCCAGAAAACATAAAAGCAAAGACTACTATATTTCTCTCCCTGCTGAAGTAGAATGTCATTATTTACAGTAACTATGAGACAGTAGGGGTGTTAGTTGAAATTTTTTTAACCCTTTGCAATTATTTTGAATTTTGCAATGCAGAAACCCTGTCTTCATACTGAGGTTCAGAAATTCGATTGGCAGCTGAACAATAACTTGGAGAGCAGTAAGCTACACCTACACGTAATAGAGTTGGTGTAGCTTACTGCCGGGTGGAGTGGTGGCTCTGTGGCTAAGGATCTGCCTGGAAGGTTGCTGGTTCAAATCCTGTGGCTGGCAGAGGAATCCTACTCTGTTGGGCCCCTGAGCAAGGCCCTTAACCCCAACTGCTCCAGGGGTGCTGTGCAATGGCAGACCCTGTGCTCTGACCCCAAGCTTCTCTCCCTGTCTGTGTCTCCTCGGAGAAAAAAGCTGGGGTATGTGAAAAGACGAATTCCTAATGCAAGAAATTGTATAGGGCTAATAAAGAAACATTATTATTATTAACATTACATTTCATTATTATTAGAGCTCAATTAAATTATACCCTTCTATGTTTTCTTTCTGGAGGCAAGGTTAATTATTGGTCATCTGTATTTTTTAATGCTAATAAAGATGGTCTGCATTTGCCTGGAGTATTCTATTCTTGTTTCCACGGGGATGAGAAATGATGATAAGACCTGCAAACAATTAGTTAGCACAAACATCACCACCCACTAGAAAGAAGACTGCAGTTGCGCACATTGTCAAAACAACCAGGCAGCAAACTACAAACATAATAATTTGTTCTCCATGCACTTTGACTTTCCAGTAGAGCAGCTGACTTGCTCACTGCAGCAAAGTGACATTCTGACCGGGGGGTTTATCTTCTGCAAACAAGCTTGGAAAGAGAGATAGTTTGACGTGATTCATGATCTTGCAGAACAACACTGATGGCAAGGATGAGTTCCACATGGTGTACTAATGCGTGTCTAATGAGTTCTACAGTGTCCCTGGAAAGCACCACAAAGTCTCAAGCCACATCTAACTGGCACTGGCATCTAGCTAATAAAAAAGAGCCATTAACCTGCTGTTTCAATATAAGAATAAAATCACGAAAGCTCCTTAAACATACTGTTGATTAATTGATAGCCTGGATCAGTAAACAATTTAACAGTAAATGTATTCAAAAATATAAAAAAGGAAGTGTGTGAGCTGCATAAAATCTTTCTGATAGTTTAGTTTCATTTGCTCATGTATTACGAAACAAGGATGTTTTCTGTGAATTGCAAATTCTAATGGAGGTTGGAATACATGAAAGAAAAACGTCAACAGCATTTAAATATATAATATTGAGAGGACAGCTGATTTTGTGGAGACACAGCTTACATATTATTCTGCTCAGTATTATTGTGTTAATAAGTCTGTGTGTAACGCAGATTCCAAAAAGCCACAAAGCAAAAGGCATACAAAGACAGATTGATTTTCTTATTTATCCTGTAAGCCTGTACTCTAGATAGATAAGATCAAGTGTTAAAATCCAAGAAGTCTTATTACAGAAGAGTTTTGCAAAAGTATATATCACAACGGATGTAATTTATCATTTACAATTGTAAATCGCTGGGTTTAAGAGTAAATATAAAAATGTTTTCATTGGATAATGGATCATTGGATCAGGCAATTAATTATGTTATTAATTAATTATGTGGCTTTGTAAATTGAAAACATTTTATTAGTTCTGTGAAAAATAACTATTGTTGCTAATTTTAAGGTGTCTTGGTCACTTTACTGTCATTGATTTTTATAATAGTAATAATTAAGGCGATTTGTGTAATAATTGTAGATGCTTTGTTGACCCTGTGCAGTCACTTTACATTCTTGCCTGTTCCTGGGGTGTTTTGAATTCAGTTTTTTCTTTTTCTTTTGTGTAAAGTGCATAGTAATCAGGATTGAAATCTTGAAAATTCTGTCTAAGATCGTCCACATTTTTATTCCAGATTAATTATTTGGTTGCACTGACTGGATGTTTTGGATTATTGCAATGTTGTATGGTGAAGTGTCACTCACAACATATGGACGCATTCTCGTCTACATTACAAGGAGACTGTTTCTGTAAACTTCATTATTAATTCTGCTGCTGCCATCATGTGGAAGTATGGAACAAGCTACCCAAAGATGCTCTGGCTTCTTTCAAGAAGCTGGCTGGATCAATTAACGACTAAATATCTAAGATGGGCCAGATGCCCTCCTCTTATTTGTAAAATGTTCTTGTCATTAGCTACATCTACAACAAAGACGAGGAAACCAGTTCCTATAGGAGCTATACTGTACCTGACATTACCCCCAGCATGTTTCACAGGTGAGGTGGTGTAACTTGGAGCGTCTTCTCCACATTTTAATCTTTCCATCACTTTGGCAAAGATTTATCTTGGATAATTCCATTAAACTTTAAACTAGGATATGCATTAAACTTTGTTTTAAACTGTTCTGACTCATCTTTGTGCAAATTCTGATTTGTATT